ATCTTTGTGGTTGCTGGCGCTTACGTTCACTTCCACGGAGTCTCAAACCTCCAGGAGTACCGCTTCATGATCGGCGGAGGCTGCAGTGAAGAGGATGCACTGTGACACCTGCAGTAACCAGGGCTGGGACCCTGAACCAGGGCCTGCTGCACCTGCAGGCTTTTCCCTTCCTGCATGTAACTGAAATAATAGCAAAATAAAGGGGAGAATATGTCCAGCAATTGAGGACATGATTGAGGACACTTAATGGATGTGGGTGCCTTACTGCATAGGATCTGCGAATGATTCCTAGAGATTATTTAAAAACCATAAAAAATGCTTACAGTACTTTAAAATTAAACAAAAATACACGGTTGGATATACCCTGCATTTGAGAAGTATAAATGAAAAGCAAGTAAATTTTGATACATAGTGGAGCCTGGGTTCTCTAACTTAATTCATCCTGGTAGCCAGTTGGAAAAGCGATTTGCTCAAAACTGAATCATATTTCTCCCATTAGAAATAATGTAAATTGAATTAATACCTTCAGACCCTCAAATGATTCTCTGTTATAACGTTTCTTATAAACACAGTACAGGTCTCATGTACTGTTTAATTTATAAATAAACACTTCTTAAATTGAAAAAAAAGATACAAATTATGAACAACAAATACACATCTATCAACAAGTGAATCTAAAAATCAAGTGAATAAATAATCTGATGAACAGAATAAACCGGTGAATATAATAGAATCAGGGGCATAGAAAGAGAGTGGACTGACTATTCTCAGGGGGGAAAGGGACGTAGGGGGTGGGGGAAGAGACTGGACAAAAATCATACACCTATGGATGAGAACAGTGGGTGGCGGGGGTAAAGGCAGAGGGTGGGGTGGGAACCGGGTATAGGGAAGCTATGGGGGGGGAGGGAAACAACTATAATAATCTGAACAATAAAGATTTAATTTAAAAAAAACATTCCATGGTGTGAATGTATCACAGCTTTTTTATCCACTCATCTACTGATGGGCACTTAGGCTGTTTTCTGATCTTAGGTATTGTAAATTGTGCTGCTATGAATAACCCTTTCTTTTTTAAGCATTGAACTGAAAGTTGCATACATCACTTCCTCTCTCACTCCAATCACCAGAACATAGCCATGCCCACTTCCAGAGAGAAATAAAAGACAGTTATGGCCAGCTAAAACTCAGAAGTTCCATTATTTTTTATTGACTTTTTTACAGAGGAAGGGAGAAGAATAGAGAGTTGGAAACATCAGTGAAAGAGAAACATCAATTAGCTGCCTCCTGCACACCCCCTCTGGGGATGTGCCCACAACCAAGGTACATGACCCTGACTGGAATTGAACCTGGACCCTTCAGTCCACAGGCTGACGCTCTATCCACTGAGCCAAACCAGTTAGGACTGAAGTTCCATTATTAATAGAATTGGAGAAGGGGTAGTAGTTTCTGCTAAAATTATGTGAAACAGGTATTTTCCAAATCAATATTTTTACTTATACTTTTTGATAAACCATATTTTCTCTTTTTTTATATTCTAGTTCATTTTTTAAAATCTTGGTCATGAATCAGCGATTATGCTATCATAACCCACTATAATGGTGACCTATAATTTGAGAAGTCTACTTTGTCAAATATGGTAACCAGTAGCTACCTGGGTGATTAGGCACTTGAAATGTGGCTGGTCTAAATTGATATGCATTGTAGGTAGAGACCCTGCACCAGATTTCAAAGACTTAGTACAAAAAATATGTAAAGTATCTCATTAATTTTTATAATGATTAAATGTTGAAACAATATTTTCGATATATTGAGCTAAGTAAAACAATATTAAAATTAATCTGTGTCTTTTGGGTGTGTGTGTTTTTTTAATTCTTTATTGTTTAAAATATTACGTAAGTCTCCTTTTTCCCCAGTGACCTCTCCCCTGCCACCCCCATCCCCCAGCACATGCCCTCACACTCCCCCTCATGTGTGTCCATTGGTTATGCTCATATGCATGTATACAAGTCCTTTGGTTGATCTCTTATCCCCTCACCCGCAGCCTTTCCTCATAGGTTGGACAGACTGTTCAATGCTTCTATGACTCTGGTTCTATTTATGTTGTTCATTATATTCTCACAGAAAGAGAAACTTAAAAAACAATCCCATTTACCATTGCGACAACAAATATTAAGATACCTAGGAATACTACCATTTGCAACAGCATGGATGGACCTGGAGAGCATTATGCTAAGCGAAATAAGTCAATCAGAGAAAGCTAACTATCACATGATCTCACTCATTTGTGGAATCTAATGAACAACATAAACTGATGAACAAAACAGATCCAGAGACAGAGAAGTATCGATCAGACCGTCAAATCTCAGAGGGTAGGTAGGGGAGGGAGGGGGTAAGGGGGAGAGATCAACCAAAGGACTTGTATGCATGCATATAAGCCTAACCAATGGACACAGACACCAGGGGGGCGAGGGCATGAGTGTGGGGGTGGGAAGGTAAGGGGGGGATAAGGATACATATGTAATACCTTAATCAATAAAGAAAATAAAAAATTTAAAAATTTTAAAAAATGATACCTGGGAATAAATTTAACCAAGAAGGTAAAGGACCTGTACTCAGAAAATTACAGGATGCTGAAAAAAGAGATAGAGGAAGACATAAACAAATGAAAGAATATACCTTGTTCATGAATTGACAGAATCAACGTCATTAAAATGTCCATACTACACAAAGCAATCTGTAGATTCAATGCAATCCCCATTAAAATACCAACGGCATACTTCAAAGACATTGAACAAAATCTCCAAAAATAAATCTGGAATTAAAAAAAAAAAACCCGAATAGCTGCAGCAATCTTGAGAAAGAAGAACAAAATTGGAGCGATCGATCACAACAGCAGATATCAAGCTATACTACAAAGCCACTGTTCTCAAAACTGCCTTGTACTGGCAAAAGAAGACATATAGACCAGTGGAACAGAACAGAGAAACCAGAGATTGACCCAAGCCATTATGCTCAATTACTATTTGACAAAGGAGGCAAGAGCATACAGTGGAGTCAGGACAGTCTCTTCAATACATGGTGTTGGGAAAATTGATCAGATACATGCAAAAAAAATGAAACTAGATCACCAACTTACATCATACACAAAAATAAACTCAAAATGGATAAATCAAAATCCTAGAAGAAGCCATGGGCAGCAAAATAGCAGACATTTGTCATAGCAATATCTTTAACGATACAACTCCTGCGACAATGAAAACTACAGAGAAAATAAACAAATGGGACTACATCAAAATAAAAAGCTTCTTCACAGCGAAAGAAACCATCAACAAAATAACAAGAAAGTCCACTGCATGTGAGAACATATTTGCTAATGTTATCTCTGATAAGGGTTTAATCTCCAAAATTTATAGGGAACTCATACAACTTAACAGAAGGAAGATAATCCAATCAAAAATGGGCAAAGGACCTATTAGACACTTTTTTGACAGAAGACATCTTTTTGGTGTGTGAAGAAAGAGGGAAAAAGAAATAGAAACATCAATGAGAGAGAATCATTGACTGGCTGCCTCCTACACACTGGCTATGGGGGACGGAGCCCACAACCTAGGCATGTACCCTGACTGGGAATCGAACCATGACCTCCTGGTTCATAGGTCAATGCTCAACCTCTGAGCCACACTGATGGGGCTCTTACTGTTTGTTTAATGTGGCTACTAGAAAAAGTAGTTACATAAGAGGTCACATTTATTTCTATTAGACCACACTGCTCTAAACTCTGGATGAAAATGATAAAAACCCCTGTGTATATTAATATTTGAATATCCCACAAGTACTTTCTAAAACTAGACTCTATCTTTCCAACTTTCAGTCGCCACCCTGTCCATCTGTTCCCACCCTGTTTCCTGTTTTACTCAATCAGTTAAGGGCAACACAATTCACTCAGTGACCAGCCAGGGAAATTGAAAAGCACATTCTTCTTTATCAGTCACATTCCTATATTCATTGTATAGTATAATTTTATCTTTTAAATATAATATACATCTGTCAACCTCTTTTCGAGCTCATTATGAATACCCTAGTTCAAAATGCCATCATCTCTCGCCTATATAAATGTATCAGTGCCCATTCTATCTCCATGATTTTACATGATACCTACCCCAACTAGGCTGTAAGATACTTATTTAAAAAAACAAATAGTTGGATGAACAAATGGATGAAATAGTTTATGTGATTAAAGATGATAAGGAGCAGCATATTTAAAAGTCAGTAACAAAATATGTTTGCATAGTTGATGGTGAAGGCAACAGAGATCTTTGTTAGGCACAGTAGGTCCAAGTTTGTTTTTGAGGTCTGGCTACCTCTCTTTTCATCTTTTCACTGTTTTAATACAGGAAAATATTTTCAGTTATCATTCTTCCAGGACTGGCTCTTCATCTGCAATCCAGTGATATCCCTAAAGTCAAAAACCTATTCGTTGAATCCATTGTCATTTCCACAGAGGACTACTGAATTCTGAAACTGCTTCAACACTTAAGGTAGGCATATGAAAGAGAAAACTTGCAGGCTCAGTGACTTGCAGGAAAATATCTACTTTGAGCCTGTCCAGTATTGCTTAAATTGTTGTTTCCCTGACCAACTGTTCATGCAAAAGACGTGAGGAATGCCATAAAAGGTGCTGTGGGGAAATGGAAGGAGGGAGTAAAAGAGAGCAGGGATTTAAAAGCCGATTAGCTGCTTTATAGTAAAACCCAGAGAAAGTGAGCACTTACAGGAACGTGGGTTTTATACCTCCAAGAATTCTAGTTAGCCCGCCAGGAATTAACCTTGACCCCTTTACTGAAATTAGGCCCCTGGGCGCAATGACCCTTCCAGAGAACATTCAGAGACTTTTAGTTTGTTTAGACATCTGGTGGGGGTGGAACTTCCTGTTTGTTCAGAGAGCAACAAAAAGCCTGGTTGTTCTGAGGAAGGCTTGAGACCAGACCAACTAGAGGGAGTCCGGCACAATACAGTCTGGTCTCCTCAGGTTCCTTCTCCCAGCAGCATGGAGAAGAACAAACTCCATCCAAGTCTTATTGTCCTTTTTCTGGTCTTCCTGCATGCAGATGCCTCAGTTTCTGGACAACCGTGAGTTTCCCATAGAGCATAAACTTAAAGAGTCCTTTCCTTCCTTTTTTTTTTTCTGCTTTGAATTGAAATACTCTGTGGAGCAACCATATATATATATGTATATGTATGTATGTATGTGTGTGTGTGTGTGTGTGTGTGTGTGTGTATATATATATATATATATATATATATATATATATGTTTTAAACTCTTGCTTGGTTCATTAAAATGCACTTTTAAGAGTTAAAAAAAGAATTCTTTCCTTTATTTTAGATTCTTCTTTATATCATTCATTTGTCTTCCTTATGAAACTGTCACCTTCTTATCTCTAAGGTCTCTTTCAATGATGATATTTTATGAATCTGGTTTATTTATTCTTTAGTTTTTCTTAACTATTTTTTTTCAAATTCTCTGGAACTCTGAATTTCTAAATTATCCATGAATATACTAGGACTTTCTAAGGGGCATTAAAAATGGATAGTTTTAATGGAATCAGCTTTCAGATTCTCACATTCATATTGATCTGCTGGAGACCGTGCTATTTATCCTTCCTCACCTCCCCTTTCTTAATTACCCATCTTCCACTTTATGAGAGAAAAACAAATCTCTCCCTCAGTCAAATGTTAGTTACTGTGGAGCATTGTCCTGGAGTATAAAAATCTTCAGGGTGCCAAAGAAATAAACAATTTGAAATACTGATGTTGATTTTTGAGAAAGCAAAGGATTCTAAGGAAAGGGTGAAAAAATCCTTTGGTACATCATGTGGTGACAATTTTTTGTTTCAACAAAACTGAAGGAAGACCTAAAGGAAATAACCAGCTGACAGATGATTAGAAGCAATTCTTTTTTTTTTTAACAAATTGGTGTTGCTTTATTCTATTTTAAAATATATGTGTTGATTTCAGAGAGGAAGAAAAAGGAAGAGAGGGATAGAAACACAATGATGAGAGTGAGTCATCGATCAGCTGCCTCCTGCACACCCTCACTGCAGATCGAGCCTGCAACCTGACATATGTCCTGATCAGAAATCTAACTGTGACCTCCTGGTTCATAGGTCAATGCTCAACCACTGAGCCATGCCGGCCGGGTGAAGCAATTCTTGATAATAGGGCACGGGTGATTTCTAGCATCTAATGTAGAAGATTTACACGAACTGCTAATAAGGATATAATTGTTTTATCTGTATATACTTACTTATTTATGAATAATTTTTCATGGTACATCTATACATATCAAAAATAGCAACAGAATTAATGTTAGACCTTTTTTAATTCTTGCAACAAGGAATACCTATCCATAGATACATTTAAAAAACACATCATTCTTTTAAAGATGTGCTTCAAAATTATTTTTATTTTATATCTATTACGTATGCATTATACAGTGGGGCCTTGACTTACGAGTGTCCCGACAAATGAGTTTTTTGAGATATGAGCCGTCTCTCGGCCGATTTTTTGCTTTGAGTTGAGTTGCGAGCTAAAATTCGGGTTACAAGCCAGCTTTAGATACTCCACCACTAGTTGGCGCAGTGGACATCACAGTGATTTAACATACGAGTAATTTGAGTTACGAACTCCGTAACGGAACGAATTAAACTCATAAGTCAAGGCCCCACTGTAATTTACAATATATTAATTTGTTTTGATATATTTTGTTATATGAGTAAGACCTTTGAAAATAACTGAATCCAGAAGAAAATGTTCAATATTTACAACTTTAGAGTCACATTACATTTAAGAGAAGAGTTAAATTTACATAGGAAAAGGGGAAAGATGTTGAATTTGTGATCATTACAACAAAAACATTTTGATTTCTTTTTTTAAAATATGTTTAAAATTTGTATTGATTTCAGAAAGGAAGAGAGAGGGAGAGAGGGATAGAAACATCAATGATGAAAGAAAGTCATCAATCAGCTGCCTCCTGAATGCCCCTTACTGAGGATCAAGCCTGGAAACCCGGGCATATGTCCTGATCAGGAATTGAACTGTGACCTCCTGGTTCATGGGTCGACACTCAACCACTGAGCCATACCCACTGAGCATTGATTTGTTTTTAAAATAAGTTATATTGGGTATCTTATTTCTATGATATTTAAAATTCCATGAAAAATTTATACAAGAATATGTTTTATCTTAAAATATCATCATAAAGCCCAGCGGCTGTGGCACAGTAGTTGAGCGTACAGCTATGAATCAGGAGGTCATGGTTAGATTCCTGGTCAGGGCACACGCCCAAGTTGCAGGCTCAATGTTTTCTTGAAAATATGTAAGGACTGCATGCTGTTTAAAAATTATTATGAGTTCTGTAAACAAAAATCCTTGGTGAAAGGATTAAGCTGTAACAGTCCAGTGATAGCCAAAAGGAAAGGGGGCTGGGGGAGGTGGAACAGGGCATTTGAAACCTGTATGGTTCTGTTAACCAATGTCACCTAATAAACTCAATTTAAAAATGTTTGAAAACTACAGGGTCAATAAAAGTATATATGAGGGTATTGGAAACGTTTCTGTTTTGCTCATGAGTTACCAAGACTCAAAAGTCAATCACTTAGAAGACCATTTTTGAGTGGAGCCATTGTCTAGCCAGGAGTTGAAAGGCAAATATTTAAAATGCAAACATCCAGGGTTATGTAACACCCTAAGATTTCATTAGTTGCTTACCACAACTGAAACTTTAAATTAATGACTCACTTGCTTTAAGACTCAGATTCCACATCTGTAAAGTGGAAAGCAAGTACTTGCCATACCATTTTTCTCAGGGCTGTTGAAGATGATAGATAGATAGTTAGATAAATAGATAGATAGATAGATACATAGATAGATAGATAGATAGATAGATAGATAGATAGATAGATACAGATATAGATATAATATAGATACTCAATGAAAGTTCTGTAAATTGATTCGTTTTTCAGTGTCTCACCTGAAAGCTTGCTTGCTTTCTACGAAAATCCTAATTTAAAATAGATTTACAACATAAATATATATATATGTATATATATAATTAGCATTATTTTTTTTAATTCAGATACCTACATTTTGGGGTTTCTTAAAGGAAGGTAAACCTACTAATTTTAATCTATTTAAGGCTCACCTCAAGCAAAATGTTCACTGCCATAGCACTGGTGATGGACAGGGGAATAATTCTCATATTTACTGTTCAATAGCAAAGATTAATTTCATGCTTATCAATACATCTTCTCTTGGTATAGAACTAATGATAGTACCCATAATTTTTATGAAAAATATTGCTGTTGAGAACAATGCCTCTCCTCTAATTGGACTTCCCCATTTCCAGGCAGTATATGGCGCTGGTCCCCTCCCTGCTCCACACTGAGACCCCTGAGAAGGCCTGCATCCTTCTGAGCCACCTGAATGAGACAGTGACTGTAAGTGTTTCCTTGGATTCTCTCAGGAAGAATGAGAGCCTCTTCACTAACCTGGTGGCAGAAAAGGACTTATTCCGCTGTGTCTCTTTCACTGTGAGTATGGCTGTTTGGCTTAATATACTTGTTTCTATTAGTCAGGGTCACAGAGATCCAGAATTCAGTCAAGATAAGGCTTTGAGAGGCTGGCAAGGACGTCAGAAAGGAATGAAATGTAGCAACTAAGAGTAGAAAGTAAGCAGCGATGCTGGGACTTATGAGATACAAATATTTATAAGCATATTTAAACCAACTTAATGATCAAAGAAAGTTTCTATTAGCAAAAAGAAAAGCAGCATGCACTAGACAAAGGGAAAAGGTTACTTCTTAAAATTAAATGAGAAAATAATATTAATAAAGCAAAGTAGGCCAATCCTATCTAATAATAGACAACGATGCAAATTGACCATACCTTCGCTACGCCCACCTTTAGCTAATCAGAGTGATATGCAAATTAACTGCCAACAAAGATGGCGGTTAATTTGTCTACATAGGCACAAAGCCGCAGAGCGGAGACTGAAGGCAGCTCCAGCCGGAGCAGTGAAGGCTTGAAGACGGCTCCAGCCGGAGTAGCGAAGGCCTGAAGGAGGCTCCGGCTGGAGCAAAGGCATGGGTCCCGGGTGCCAGAGGAAAACTGGTGCTGGAAGCCAGGGGAAGGGAAGGCCTATTGCATGAATCTTTTTGTACCACAGGCCTCTAGTACTCAACATAAGCCCCCAGTGGTGGGCTGACAGGAATACATCACCCCATACTCTTTCTAAGAGTGAAAGTTATAGAAATTACCATGAGCAAATATCCAGTAACTCTTCAGCGTCGCCCATATATAAAATGCCCATAACCTATAGTAATAAAATATTGTAGTTTTTTTTCTCATGGGCCTAAGTATGCTTTTACCATGCCCTGTCCACACATAAAAACTTGCTCAAGTTTAGTGTATAACTGAATCAAGACTGATCTATAAGGTGATGTGAATCTCATTTATGACCTTTCTTACTGAGGTATTTTCATCCATCTTATGTCCTGTCTCCCTACTTGTAAAATAACAAAAATAATTTCTGTTCATGCCAATTTTCTGTGGTAAGAATGAGGGAGTGAAGTTAAGAAAAAGAGGCAATATCTCCAGGGAAGAGTGCAACAGGGATGGAGGAGGAAACATTGAAGACTGAATGGATTCCCCGGATCTCTCCTGTATTTCAGGTCCCAAGAACTCCATCCAGTGAAGAGGTAATGTTTCTTTCTGTCCAAGTGAAAGGAGCAACCCACGAATTCAGAAGGCAGACCACAGTGCTGGTTAAAAACCAAGAGAGCCTGGTCTTTGTCCAGACTGACAAACCTATCTACAAACCAGGACAGACAGGTACAAACAGGCCAACAGTCAGGACAACTTCAAAACGGAAAGATCCTCCCCCACGTATTCCCCAATCAAAAGTCCTGTAATACTGATTTCTTAATGGTTTGTCTTACCAGCCTATAGGCCTGGTTTAAGATTTCTAGTGATAAAAAATATTTCTGTTTCAGTGAAGTTTCGTGTTGTCTCATTGGATGAAAATTTTCACCCCCTGAGTGAGTTGGTGAGTCTCCATATATATATATATAGAATCAGTATTTTCTGTGTAACCTGGTTGGGAGTCTGTTTTGGGTGCTGGGGGAGAATCAGGGAGTCGAGAAATCTGGTATTGAGGACAGTAAATTCTGGCATTAGAATAATGTAAGATCCTCATTTTAAACAGTATTTCTGGTCAAGAGAGTAATTAAGTTTTTTTGTCTTGGTACCAATTAAACTTAGAAAGTTCTCAATTAATCTCATACACATACAGATTAACGTATATTAATTTTATATATATATATATGTATGTATATCAACTGTATACACATATATACTTTTGTCTCCATTCCTTATTAGAAAGTAAGCTCCTTGAAAGTAGATATATTGTTCTTTTGTGCGTTGCAATATTCCCAGAACCTATAATGACACACAGCACATGGTAGGCACTTAATAAATATTACTTTTTAATAATGAATAAACATTGATAGCAGAGGAGCTACTGTCATTCTTCTTTACTCTTAGAACTACCTAAGAATTCTGTGGTCCATCTTAATATTTGGGTCTGAACATAGTTACTTATAGTTCTGTTGGTATTTTACTTCTCAGCCTATGAAATTTCAAAGCAAAAGAGTGTACTTCCCTGGGATGCCGTAGACATTTAAGTAATATTAATAAATCCCATTCCCAATGAATGGTAAGTGCATCTATGTATTTATTGCTGACAGCCTATTACGTTCTTATCATTACTTATTAATTGCTTTTAAATGATTAGTTAAAAGTTCTGTAAAACTTAACCTGTAATTATTTTATGTGTTTTACTATGGGTAAAGTTATTCTAGATAAAACTACCTTGCTTATAAATCAGAAGTGAGAATACTTGTGAACAATTCTAAACTCCTTTATTTCTCTTTTCTCTTTCAGATTCCACTAGTATCCATTGAGGTAAGTGAAACGAAGCATTCCATAATTACATGTAAAGTAATAAATTTAGGGAAAATGTTCTTATTTGAGAGATTCTTACAATATCCTTGTCATTAAGGGAGAAGCCTTCAAACTCATGTAACACAGATGGTTCTAACTCATCTCCCCTCCCCATTCCTTATGACCATCCAATTTTCCTCTTTGTGGATAACAGAGTTTCTATAGATTCCCTAAATTGTCTCTAATGCTCTAAGCTCTTTTGTAATTTTCAATTAATGTACCCATAGGACCCAAAAGGAAATCGCATCGCACAATGGCAGAAGGTCAAGTTAGAGAGTGGCCTCAAGCAATTGGCCTTTCCCCTCTCATCAGAGCCATTTCTGGGCTCCTATAAGGTGCTGGTACAGAGAGAATCAGGTGAAACGGCAGAGCACCCCTTCACCGTGGAGGAATTTGGTATGAATTATAGAAAATCATGGAATATTTTTCTTCATATTTAAACTTCTAGGGCCTAGAATTTGAGCTCATTCTGAATCCTTTCACTTTTCCTGGGTGAGACTGGGGTTAGAGTAGAACCAATTATATACCTTACTCCCATTAAGACAATTAATGCTTTGTGAATAGGACTTTATATAACTTAGTTATATTTATAGCAATTTTTTCATCTCCAAGAAATAGAAAACATCCTTGTTTTAGTAACGTTACAGGGGTCTGTGACGGTTCTTCGAACTGTCTCCATTTGAGCAGGTAGATGTATTGGAGAAGAGAGCTGCCTCTTCGGGAGCCTAAACTATTGTCAGGGAAGTGTTACAAAGAACTTGAAAGTACTAACTGCCCAGAAGTTGAAAACTAATCACAAACTTCCTTTATCTCCTATCAACAGTGCTTCCCAAGTTTGAAGTGAAAGTAACAGTGCCAAAGATAATCACTATCTCAGACGAAGAGGTGAAAGTGTCAGTGTGTGGCCTGTGAGTGTTTGGGGGTTTTTTTTTTCATCTTTTTGGGGGAAATTATTTTAAAAAGACTCACCATTTGGGATATTTTGGCTAATGTTTCTAGGAGCAGTGACAGCACAAATACTTGAAATACATGAGAGCATCTCACCTCTAGAACTTTCCTTTCCTGTTGCCTTCCTATTTTCCCTTCTTATTTTCTTTCACAATCTTACCAGCATTATTATAACTATCATGGCACAGGCAATTGTCCTTACAGAGACTAGGCTACAAAAGATAGTTTTTTAGATGAAAATTAAAAATTAAGAGAAAAGGCATGATAAAAGAAGACTATAGTAAGTTTCAGCATGTTGCACTGGAGAATTCTAGAAGAGAAGGGTCATTACTTGACTGTGCTCAATAATGTTTGAGCCTGCAAATGGAAAGTGCAGATTAGAGGGAAGAGACGGGAGTAAATATAATTTAGCTAAAAGAGGAAATTTAAATAGGTCGGAAATGTGGATTTTCAATGTCTACTTTGATTCATTTGGCGATGTTCTTATGACAGATACACGTATGGAAAGCCAGTCCCAGGACATGTGACCGTGAGCATGTGCAGAAAGTATTATGATCCTTCTAACTGTTTTGGTGGAGAGTCACAAGCTCTCTGTGAGAAATTAAGTCAGAAGGTAGGTGGAAAACTCTTCTAGGGACTAATGACGAAGGCATGGTTAATAAGCAGTGAGTCACAACATGGTGCTAACTCAGAAAGATAGCACCCGATAAGAGAATTCTATGCTAGGTATAATAGTTGTTTTAAAATGAGTGAGTTAGCACAGTAGGAATTATGTATTTCTTATAATTGTCCATTATGGATGATCTTGGTGCAGCAAACACACAGAATGATGGAAGCTGAGCCAACTTCAATAACTGGTATCCAAAGCCATCTTTGACATCCATTTGTATGAAGGAAAGCAGGGGGGAAAGCATACCTTTTAACCACCTTTTCTGGGAAGAATGTCAGTTTCATTCTTTCTATGAACAAGAACTTGTCACATGGCCCCACTTAGATACCAGTGAGGTAGGAAACAATTCCCAGATAGGCGGCGACTTTCTAGCCATAGCTATAACACTATGGAAGGGGAGCCAGACTTTGGTGAAGGGTTAGCCGCCTATTACAATAAGATGTATCCCAAAAATTTTAGGGCATTTCTATCTCATTCAGGCTAAGAAATCTCAAATACTAAGGAATACACCTGTCAATTATAAAGCAGATACTGTTGTAAAATGTAATAATAACCAATCCCTAAAGGTATTGTATTCTTATAGGAAATACCTAAATTATATTCCCTGTCCCCCCCCCAAATATCCCACCAGATTAACTTACCCCTGGTCTGTCTAGTATTATGTTCTTGTGTTTTATTCTACCCCCTCCTAGCTAAACAGCCAGGGTTGCGTCTCTCAGCAAGTAAAAACCAAGGTCTTCCAGATGAAGAGAGAAGGTTTGGAAATGGAACTTGAAGTGGAAGCCAAGATCAAAGAAGAAGGAACAGGTTTGTGTACCATGTGGGTACGGGAGAAAAGGAAATGGACATTGATTTATATCCTTTGCCAAAGTATGATTTGAAAGGGGGAAGGTAGGATAAGAAGTTCAGGCCGATCACCCTTCCAAAAAATGACTTACTTTTTTCTTCTTCTTTCAGAGGTGGAGTTAACTGGAAGAGGGCTCAGTGAAATAACAAGAACTATCACCCAACTCTCATTTGTGAAAGTGGACCCCCACTTCAGACAAGGGATCCCCTTCTTTGGACAGGTGGAGTATTTTTCAGTTCACAAACCAAACTTTGCATCATCATCTAATAAGCAGAGCATATTCTGTTAAAACTATACCTGGTTATTGTTACCTGCTGATAAATATAAGCAAAGGTATAAAACCACACACAAATATATCTGTTCCTCTGTAAATTTGTAAATGAAATCTATAGAATCATTCTAAAGCATCCACAAAATTAGAAAGTTTTTTTTGTCACTTCTGGAACAGCATTGTGTGGTGTCACTCAATCTCCTTCCCACAGTTTAGCAGGCAGTTTCATATTTTTATGATATTTTCTCACAAGCATCTCAGAATTCATGGTGGCCACAAACATTATCCTTCCAACACTAATTTCACATGGCAATGAATGAATAGATGGTTTTAATTTTTATTTTGAGCATAAAAGATGCTACAATACCTAGTATTTCTTTCATGGATATTGTATTTATAATACTTTTTCTATAAGTGCAAGTAAAACAGTGTACACAAGGGTAAAATACTGCTATTTAAGGTTCCCAGCTTTTAAAAATATAAATTTTCTCACAGATCTACAGAGAAATATTTTATTGTTATTTTTCTAGTATAAGCAGACGTGCAAATGGACCTTTCTGACTCCAGGAGTCTGAGATAACAGTTGGGTGTATCTCATGTATAATGACTGTGTGTCATATTCTTAATGAAAATGTTAAAAAATTTCAGCTGCGGAGAGTGTGAAAGACAGAGGGACTAGACTCAACAAAGGAGTGAAGGAGTAAATTTTAGAATGTTTTGATTATGTTGTGACAGCAAACATATTCAGAAACTTTGGTCACATGCTAAAATGAAAGTACACTTCATGTTTTTCAATTTCTCGGGTATATTGTACATTTTTGATATTTTAGTCCTGCTAAATAAGTGTTCCATTAGTCATAAGACTCATTAGAAGAGGAAAATCAGAATTTTATCCTTCTCTTTGTTCATGTAGCCGACAGTTCAGTGACAAACTTAGATTTTGTTCATCAGTTACACATACTGATCCAAGTCTGCCCCTGTGCTTCTTGCTACCATAATAAATAGCTTATACTGGAAAGGAATGAACATCTTCATAATAGGAACTAGACTACTAATCTGCTGAGTTTAATATTAACAGTAATGTGACTTTAAGCCTTTATTAGGATGGTGTGCTTCTTCTCAATTTTACATTTTTACATAGCAAGTGCCTCATAATATCTGCCTACCTTCCAAAAGATTGAAAATTTAGGTTGACAAGCAGATATCATGCATAAAACAACTAGAGATGCCTACCGGACAATGTATACATTGCTCACTTGTACACTTATTATACAGAACACAACACCATAGAAAGTTACTTGTCCGCCACACAATAAGAGGAGCTCAATTGAATTTGGCAGTGGGTTAAAATTTTTCAATGCTGTATGATTCTCGTGCTCTGTGACTCTGCAAGAGTAATACATGATACACAGACCCAGAATACATTTTTCAGGTCACCCCAATTATGATCTCCATCACGCTCTATCCTTTTACACTGCTTTATTTTTTCTAATTTTTCAATTACAGTTTACACTCAATATTATTCTGTATTCATTCCAGATATGCAGCATAGTGGATGGATCATCATGTATTTTACAGAGTGGTCCCCACGATGTTTCAAATACCCACCTGGCTCCATACAATACTGCTTTATTTTTCTTCTTAGGACTGATTACTACTAAATAAGTGTATGTTACTTATGCATTGATTTAACATCTGTCCCTTACTAGACTGTAAGCTCTACGGTGGAAGGACCTTTGTTTTGTTCACTGCTATAGCTTCAATGCTTGGAAATGTGTTCAACATATAGGATGTGCTCATATAAATACTTCAGATAAAATGAATATGTTGGTTGCCTATTGGAGATTAGCCATATAACTGATCCACAGCTTTTCATCTTCAGGTGCGCCTCGTGGATGGGAAAGGTGTCCCCATGCAAAATAAACTCATCTACATCACAGCAAATGAAGCTAACCATTCCTCCAATGCCACCACGGATCAGTTTGGCCTAGCGCAGTTCTCCATCAACACCACCAATGTTAAGGAATCCTCCCTCTCTGTCAGGGTAAGCTTGGAAAGAAGTTACCAATAACATGAAGTAGCCTTGAAAAATGCTTGCAACCTAAAGTGATGAGATCTCCAAGTTTGTTTAGTCCTATGGAGAGAAAAACACTAGAAACTAGAAACCAATTTAAGGTCAACTTTGAAAAACTTTATTAAAAAGGTTTGGTGGTTAAAAGTATGGGTTCTTCTTGTATACTATTACTGGCAATATAAAATGGTGCTATCGAAAACAGTATGGCAATTTTTCAAAAAATTAAAAATGGAAATATCATATGATCTCATAATCCCACTTATGGGGAATATAGCCACAAGAATGGAAAGCAGTGTCTCAAATGCATATTTGCACACCCATGTTCATAGCAGCACTAGTCACAATAGCCACAAAGTGAAAGCAACCCAAATATCTTTGAACAGATGAAGATAAATAAAATGTGGTATATACATATAATGGAATAGAATTCAGCTTTAAAAAGGAAGGAAATCCTGTCACATGCTATAACATAGATGAACTTTGATGACATTATGCTAAGTGAAATATCCAGTCACAAAAAAAACACAAATATTGTGTAATTCCACTTATACAATGTATTTTAAATAGTCAAAGTCATAGAAATGTAAAGTAGAATGGCAGCTTCCTGTGACTGGAAAGGGGAAGTTAGAAGCTGTTGTTTAATGGATGTAGAGTTTTAGTTTTACAAGGTGAAAAAATTTTGAAGATCCGTTGCACACTACTTCACACTACCAAACTGTACGTAAAACGGTTAAAATGATAATTTTATGTTGTGTGTTTCTTACCACAGTTTTTTTTAAAGGTGTAGGTTCCAGAATGAAATAAATAAGATTAAAATCCTGGCTCAACTCTTTTTAAGAGCAAATGACTAAAAACCTCTATACTTCATTTTCTTATCTGTAAAATGGACACAACTCTTAGAATTGTTGTGAGATTAGAGATACTACATATTAAAGCACCTAGTGAGCCCCTTTAACTGCTAAATATTGTTGCTGTAAAAGCCAATTTTAACATCATTAGCATTTTAACTCCATAAATTATTGTCCTTACTTTATTTTTGTCCTGCTATTCTAATTTTCTCCACACTCTCCATACCCATCTAGTTTGCTTTTTATAGCATACAGTCCTCTATTCAGCAAGGAAGATGTAGATACACATTTATGGATATATGGCTACACAATAGATATTACATAGTAATAGTGATGAAAACCCCCTATCTTTTGGACTTTCTCATCCTATCTAATAAAAGAGAAACATGCAAATTGACCATAACCCCGACACCCTTCCCATTGGCTAATCAGCAGGATATGCAAATTAACTGCCAACCAAGATGGCGGCCGGCAACCACACAGGTGAAGCGAACAGGAGGCTTCCTTGCTCCAGTGATGAAGGAAGCCAAGGTTCCCCGCCTGCCGCAGCTCGGCTCTGAGCTGCAATCTAAGAAACTATGTTGCAATTATAGACGCTAAACAAGCTCCAGAGACCTGCTTTCAGCCAGCTTCGGCCTCAGAGCTTAGAGCTGCTGTGATGGCAACAGAGTTTCAATTATAGAAGCTAAACAGACCCAGAAACCTGCTTTCAGCCCTCAGAGCTGGAGCCGGCTCTCAGCTCCAGTGACAGCTATAGAAGGTAAATAAATCCCAGAATAAAAAAAAAAAAAGAAGAAAAAAAGGAGAGGCTGGGAGCTTAAGTTGCCCTCCAGCCTAAAAATTGCTCTCAGGCCCTCACCCAGACTGGCCAGGCACCCCAGTGGGGACCCCCACCCTGAAGGGGGTGTGACCAGCTGCAAACAGCCATCAGCCCGTCATCCAGACTGGCCAGGCACCCAAGTGGGACCCCCACCCTGACCCAGGACACTTTCAGGGCAAACCAGCTAGCCCCCACCCGTGCACCAGGCCTCTATCCTATATTAGAGGCAAGGCGGGACAGTGCGAGCTGCCATCCGGGCCCCATGTGCAGCCCTGGGAAGTGGGGTATAAGCCCCGCCCCCAGCTGGGACCCCTGTGAGCCACCTGAGCCCTCAGCCGGGACCCCCGTGCCACCTAAGCCCCGCACTGCTAAGCCCCGTCCCCAGCCGGGACCCTATGACTATTGGAGAGCAGGAAAGTGCCGCTGGGCCCTGGGTCGCTGTGGTAATCCGGCCATGGGTAAGTAGAAAAGTGCGGCCTGTAGGCAGCCCCCAGCTGCGCCTTCTCCCCGGTCACCATGGTGATCCGGGAGCTGGAAAGCAAGCCTGGCCTGTGGGCAGCCCCAAGCTGGGCCTGAAACAGAAGCAGGAAAGCCCAGCCTGGGACAGCCCCCAGCTGGGCCTGCTCCCCGGTTGCCATGGGGATCCGGGAGCAGGAGAGCAAGCCTGGCCTGCGGGCAGCTCCAAGCTGGGCCTGCTCCCCGGTTGCCATGGAGACCTGGGAGCGGGAAAGCCTAGCCTGTGGGCAGCCCCCAGCTGGGCCTGCTCCCTGGTCGCCATGGCGATCCAGGAGCAGGAAAGCCCGGCTTGCAAGCAGCACCCCCATCCTGGCCATAGCTCAAGGGAGAGTACAACATGCAGTGGAGGCCAGGAGCCTGAGAGATCAACATAGAGGGGCTCCTGCTCCAAGCATCCATTGTGTGGCTGGGGGGCAGGCCCCCAGCAGACACACACACACACACAGTGCCTGCTCTGAGCCTCCAATGTGACTAGGGGCAGACCCCCAGTAGGGACACACACACACACACACACACACACAGGACGCCTGCTCCGAGCCTCTGCTGCCAGACTGTGGCCATCAGTAGGACATCCACTGAGGGCTCCCGGACTGTGAGAGAGGCAGGCTGGGCTGAGGGAACCTCACCCCCCAGTGCACGAATTTCATGCACCGGGCCTCTAGTATAAATTTAAAGAGGAATAAATAATATTTTATTAATTAAGCTGTAAATAATTGTCACAAAAGCCTATACCTTTAATAAGAGAAAATTGAATGTTTACTCATTTATTTTATTAGGAACTATCTCAAATACCTTCTCTGTACTAGGCACTGTGCTAGTCCTAAAAAAAATGAAAATATTATTGTTAAATGCTTACTCTGCTTAATGAGCATTTATATGTTATCACTGGAATATACATTGAGATATGAACAAAATGGTTGGCTGACCAAAGATTCACTCATGCCACTTGGGAGGTGAAGATGAGGGTACTGGAAGCCCAAAGAAGAAAAAAACACTAACAACTTCTACATGGAGAAAAACTGAAATACAACCCAAATAATATCTAAGGAGCTTAGGAGTCCAGAATCACAATAAGCATTAAAAAGAATCCATCTAAGACAGCTTGACAGAGGTAGACTTTAGCCAAGTTACCACCTCAACTCTTGAACTAATGCTATTTATGGAAAGTTTCCTCAGAACCTTAATGTTGCAATATTACATTTACTCATAATACCTACTTGCAACTCAGCATGAATGAGGCATTGACTTCAATTTGTGAATGTGATTCTTCAGTTTTTGGACATTATTTAAGTCTCCTCAAAGAGGCTTCATAGTGTCTCTGCACAATAAAGTGGCCAAAGAAATGTCAAGAAAGCTAGTCAGAGCAAAGGATGTCTCCCTTTATGTTCTTCAAAAATATCAACAGCAGCCCTAGGAACCTCTTCAATGTAAAGGCACAAACCACGCCTGCAGTAGAGATAAACCAAAAACAGGAGGGGGCTTCTCTCTCACTTGTTACTAGACTTCTAGGTACTAGTTTAGGTAGGACAGTCAACTAATACAGTTTTGTGAGAACACTGATTCTCTGTGAGATATAAACTATACGATAATACTGTTTTTCCTAATTCATTAGGTCAAATACAAGGATCAGAACCATTGTTATGACGACCAATGGCTGACAGAAGAGCACAGAGACTCTTATCACACTGCTACTCGTGTATTCTCTCCCAGCAAGAGCTTTGTCCACCTTGAGACCATACCTGATGAACTGCGCTGTGGCCAAACTCAAACCATCCAAGCACATTATGCTCTGAATGGACAGGTCCTGAAGGAGCTAAGGGAGCTCACGTTCTATTACCTGGTGAGAAGGCGGACCACGGCACTGAGTCATCTGTAGACAAACGCTGTCTGTGGGGCAAGATTTATAAGCTCTTGAGAAAGTCTGTTTCTCTTCTGAAAGCTTGACTCCCTACAGCAGCGGTTCTCAGCCTGTGTGTCGCGACCCCTTGGGGGTCGAACGACCCTTTCACAGGGTCGCCTAAGACCATCAGAAAAGACATATATAATTACATATTGTTTTTGTGATTAATCACTATGCTTTAATTATGTTCAATTTGTAACAATGAAATTGGGGGTCACCACAACATGAGGAACTGTATTAAAGGGTCTCGGCATTAGAAAGGTTGAGAACCACTGCCCTACAGGGTTAATTAATTCTTGCTAGCAGGGGTTCAAAAAAAATAAGCCTGTTACATAGAGGGCAAGAATTGAGATAAGATCCTTTCATTGCCTTTGTTTTTTGGTTTTTTTTCCAGATAATGGCAAAGGGAGGCATTGTCCGAACTGGGTTTCATGTACTGCCTGTGAAGCAGGAAGACAGTGAGTATTTTCATAATTCCACATTCCCACCTCACTCTGACACATTCAACCTGACACTGCAGAAATACCAGGATTCGTTTCTAATAAAGAGAGGCAATCTACGTCTAACCCCAATAAAGAAGAAGTTGAGCCCTAGCTGGTTTGGTTCAGTGGATAGAGTGTTGGCCTTCAGACTGAAGGGTGGGTCCCAGGTTTGATTCCAGTCAAGGGCACATGCCTGGATTGCGGGCTTCATCCCCATTACGGGATGTGCAGGAGGCAGCCGATCAATGATTCTCTCTCATCATTGATGTTTCTATCTCTCTTTCCCTCTCCCTTCCTCTCTAAAATCAATAAAGATACAATTATTAAAAAAAAGAAGTTGAGAGGAGAAAAATGTTTCTTTTTTCACCCAATGTGTCTTTTCCTTCAGTGTATTCTGTTCAGATTATTTAAAATGTAGATGTAGTATTACTTATAATCCATACTTATTCCAAACTTTCAAACCATAAGTATTCATGAACCACCTTTGCAAAACAACATTTCAAAATAGTTTTAATCAATGGACTGAAGGTAAAACTTGGGAGTGCTTTCTATGTACTAGGATTTGTGCTGAGTCATTTATAGTTGTATATAATTTTTCCTTTTCAAAGATAGTTACAATTTATGAAGAATTTAATTGGGTACTTCCACCATTGAATTGGACTCTTCCCATGAACGAATATGGAACAATATAAATCTCTGACGGTTTCTCCTATTCCAAGAAAGTCTGAAAGAACACTTACTAGAAAACTAACAGTGACCTACTCTCCTGTTGCTTTTTCATAGCAACACAGAAGATGTACAGAAGTCTGATGCAACCTCTAAAAAATCTATGTAGACATCAAAAAATAACTTCCAAAGAAGCACCATGTTCCTCTTAAGGAAAAAAAATAGAATATGCTGTTCATGGAGGTTTAAAAAGGACATAAGGATAAATACAATGTGTTAAACTCCTAATATTATAATTCACAGCTTCACCTTCTATTTCTCTTCTCTAATGTGAGGTCTAGATCAAATAGCAACCAAGATGTCTCCATACGCTTAGATAGCATCAGAACTCTATATAAGAACTTTAAAATTGATGATAAATCATCATTTAAAAGAGAAAAAGGGACTTTTAATAGGCTTCTTTTTCCCTAAAGCTAGAGTTCTTAGAGATATAGAGTTCTTAGGGATAGTCATCTATTTGTTACATGCTGTTTAATATATCTATTACATCTACTAATAGCAATGGTATTAACAAGACCAGGCTCCTAAATGCCTTTGTGCAATAGAAAACATCCATGTTAGCCCTGGGGATATATCTAACCCGTAATCCCTTTCTCACTGTCTCTGTGCTCCAGTGAAAGGCCATTTTTCTATGTCGGTCCCTGTGGAACCAGACATCGCTCCAGTCGCCCGATTGCTCATCTTTGCCATTTTACCTGATGGGGAAGTGGTCGGGGATTCTGCAAAATATGAGGTTGAAAACTGTCTGGCCAACAAGGTGGGTGCTTCATACCATAAACTTTTCACATTAAATTAGAGGTACCTATCGTTATTATTTTCTACATGTGAGCATTGGGACCAAAGGGGTTAAATGAACTCTCACAGGACTTCAACAGGTTCTGGCAGAGTCACATTAAGAAGCCATGTCACTGGACTCCTAGTGCAGAATTCTCATGTATTATCTCTTACCATATGATACAATTCAGAGTACCTTGTTCCCTTCTTTATTGATGAAATGTTGGGAAATACATTTTTAAGATTACTAAAGAGCCAAAAGATAAACACAAGAGCATCTAGAACTATTCGCATTCTATCTTGCAGTGAATGAACATTACACTGTGCATCAAAGGTAAAAATGGTATCTCAAGTTTAATAAGTTGTAAAAATAATTAGATGTCATTATTATGGCTTAGCTGATTCTTGGAAATCAAAGCGATGTGTAGGGGACCAAAAGCCTCAGGTCTCACACAGTGCCAACCACCACAAAGTCAAACTAAATGATTATGCATTGACTGTAAGCAGCACTCTGTAAAAGCAGGTGCCCCAGCCAGCATGGCCCAGTGGTTAAGCATCGATCTATGAACCAGGAGGCCATGGTTCAATTCCTGGAGAGGGAATATGCCTGGGTTGTTGGCTCCATCCCCAGTATAGAGCATGCAGGAGGCAGCTGATCAATTATTTTCTCTCATCATTGATGTTTCTCCTTCTCCCTTCCTCTCTGAAATCAATAAAAATATTTTTTTTAAAAGAAAATGCTGCCAGAACCGGTTTGGCTCAGTGGATAGAGCATCGGCCTGCGGACTCAAGGGTCCCAGGTTCGATTCCAGTCAAGGGCATGTACCTTGGTTGCGGGCACATACCCAGTCGGGTGCCTGCAGGAGGCAGCTGATCAATGTTTCTCTCTCATTGATGTTTCTGGCACTCTATCCCTCTCCCTTCCTCTCTGTAAAAAATCAATAAAATATATTTTTAAAAAAAGAAAGAAAGAAAATGCTGGTGAATACATGGTTAAGTTAGGAAATTTGTTTTTCTGATCTTTCTCTTCACTTTCACAGGTGGATTTGAGCTTCAACCCAGCAGTAAGTCTTCCAGCCTCGCCCGTCCACCTGCGAGTCACAGCTTCTCCTCAGTCGCTCTGTGCCCTCCGAGCAGTGGACCAAAGCGTGCTGCTCATGAAGCCTGAGGCAGAGCTCTCCCCATCCTCGGTGAGTCCCCTCAGCCTGGGTCAGGAAGGGCCAGGAAAAAGGGTCTCCAAGCAAGAAGAAATGCCTTTTTGAGTAGATAGGCAGCTCCTGCATTGAGCATCTGCCCCCTGGTGGTCAGTGTGCATCATAGCAACTGGTCAACCAGTTGTTCCGGTTGTTTGGTCACTTAGGCTTTTCTATATATAGATTGCTTTGAAAAAAAATAAGCAGAGAAGGAAGATAGATAAGTGTATAATTTCATTACTTACTTTGTTAATGTAATCAATCAATTTTAAACTCCTATTAATATAATGCATTTTTATACCTGTCTTTATACTGGTAGCAGGTTATAAACCTGTACAAATGCAAAGAGCTGCCTCCTGCATGCTCTTCCTTTTCAAATGAATTTGAAAACATCATTTCCAGTATTTTACAGTTAAAGTTTTAGGTATTTGTAAAGAACTGGAGCATTTTGTTCCCATGAATAATATCTAAGAAAATACTACCCTGTTAGAGGATATATACTTCTTTGTGTACCTATTTAGAACATATGTCCATTAACTTTGTTATGCACTGAGTCAGTTGCTAACCATCAGGTAGAGACAAAGCTATCATTTTACTCTACCATCTTAAAGCTTTGTACAATGTCTCAAGTATAGCAGATCTCAATTTCTCTTAATAGTTATATTTCATTCTAGCATGGAGTCTAAGATTTGCCTTTGAACTATGTAACAAAGTATTATGATCCTTGCTTAGATGGCAATATTTTGGGGTTTGTTTGTTTTTCCTAAAATTGTTATTTTCAAAATCATATATATATGTGTGTGTGTGTGGTATATATATATATATATATATATATATATATATATATATATGTTACCATTATGACCAAACGAACAGAATGACTGAAACAACCAGTCAACCAGTTGCTATGATGCGCACTGACCACCAGGGGGCAGGTGCTCAATGCAGTAGCTGCCCCCTGGTAGTCAGTGCGTTCTCACAGCCAATCTCCCCCCCCGGCTAGCCAGCCCCCATCAGCCCCTGGTGCTAAACCATTAGTAGAGACCTGCTTCTGGGTCGGGTTTTCTTATGTAGCAGAGCAGCTACCTCAATGTGATCTATTGAAAGTCAGCCCTTGACACAAGGGTCTGTCTTGCTCCCTTTCTCTCCCTTCCCCGGGGGCAGGCCGCCCACCTGCTGTGGTGGCAGCACAGTGGTGAGGCAAGGAGGAGGGGGGGAAGAAGTGGGGAACTGTGCAGTGGCAGGGCGCCAATGGTGGCATCAGCATCCATTCCTTCCACGCCTGGCCCGATGACTGTTGCCTCCTCTCCCAACCCCACTGGGGCCTTCGGGCCCAGGTTTGGACAGGGAACCAGGGGTGGGTGGTGGCAGACATGGCCCCTTTCCCAGGGGGGCCAAGGGCCAGCTCCTTCCTCAGGGCTAGAGGCCAACCTCCTGTGGTACCTCCACTTCTACCCCATGAATTCATGCACCAGGCCTCTAGTCTTCTTTATAAAATATCTAAGCAATGAAGATACTCAAAAACTAATGGTGATTATTCTTTTCTTTTATCCTTGCACTTAAGAAAAATAAACCTTTGCATTTGTACAGGTTTATAACCTGCTACCAGTAAAGGACCTCACTGGTTTCCCTGAAAGTTTGAATCAAGAGGAGGAAACTAATGTAGACTGTGTCCGTGACCAGATCCACATCAATGGAATCATCTATTCCCCAATGTCAAGTACAAATGAAAAAGATATGTATAGCTTCCTAGAGGTAAATTCCTTCTATTGTAGATAATCAGTTCCTAAGGTTTACAAACTATCTAATAAAAGAGAAACATGCAAATTGTCCATACCTCCCCTCACCCAAAAGCCACACCCTCAAGCCATGCCCGCAAGCCAATCAGGAGCGAATATGCAAATTAACCCAACTAAGATGGCAGCAGCCATGGAGCTGAGCGAACAGTAGGCTTGGGTTGCCCTGGCAATGGAGGAAGCCAAGTTTCCCCTCTGCCCTGCCAGCCCAGAGATCAGCTCAAGGCTACAAAGTTTCAATTATAGAAGATAAATGAATCCCATATACCTGCTTCCAGCCCACAGCCGTGGCCAGCCTGAAAATGGCCCTCAGCCTTCACTAAAGCTGGCCAAACCCCCATGGGGTGAGGGTCCCCACTGGGGGTTTTACCAGCTTGAAAACGGTCCTCTGCCCCTCACCCAGGCTAGCCAAGCACCCCAGCAGGACCCTTCCCACCCTGAAGGGGGTGTGGCCAGCCTGCAAAAAGCCAACAGCCCCTCACCCAGGCTGGCCAGACATCCCAGTGGGACCCCCACCCTGATCCAGGACACCCTTCAGGGCAAACCAGCTGGCCCCCACCTGTGCACCAGGCCTCTATCCTATATAATAAAAGGGTAATATGCAAATTGACCCTAACAGCAGAACAACTGGGAATGGTCACTACGACACACACTGACCACCAGGGGGCAGACGCTCAATGCAGGAGCTGCCCCCTGGTGGTCAGTGTGCTCCCACAGGAGGAGCTCTGCTCAGCCACAAGCCAGGCTGATGGCTGCCAGCACAGCGGTGGTGGCAGGAGTCTCTCCCGCCTCCTCAGCAGTGCTAAGGATGTTGACTGCAGCTTAGGCCTGCTCCCCGCTGACAAGTGGACATCCCCCGAGGGCTCCCAGGCTGCCAGAGAGATGTCTGACTGCCAGCTTAGGCCTGTTCCCAGGGGAGCTGGCCTAAGCCAGCAGGTGGACATCCCCCAAGGGGTCCCAGACTGCGAGAGGGCACAGGCCGAGCTGAGGGACCCCCCTCCCCCGAGTGCACAAATTTCTGTGCACCGGGCCTCTAGTTATATCTATATTTTAAATTATTTATTTAATGCCTTCATATCATAGTTGAGAGAGGTCAAGTGACTTCTCCAAGATCACTATAAGTAGCAGATCTACTAATAGCAAAGAGCCAGTACTGTAACTTTTGGAACTATTAGTCAAGTTTTCTTCTTTTTACTAAAATTCATTTCCTTATTATACTTATAAATATCAATTATATAAAATAACTACTGTTCAAATTGTTTTAAAAAAATGAAATTACCTCGGTAAGTATACCAATATCCCTTCTACAAATGTAAACATTAAAAATTTAGTATTAGTTCTAGCCAGTTTGGCTCAGTAGATAGAGCGTCGTCCTGTGCACTGAATGGTCCCAGGTTTGATTTGGTCAAGGGCACATGCCCAGGTTGTGAGCTGGATCCCCAGTAGGGGGTGTGCAGGAGGTCGCTGATCAATGATTCTCTCTCATCGCTGATGTGTTTCTATCTCTCCTTCCCTCTCCCTTCCTCTCTGAATTCAATAAAAAATATTTTTTAAAAAAATTTTTAAGTTTCATATTAAACTAATTGGATTGTTTATTAATTTCAAATTTTAAGAGTATGTGCCTATATTTTTTATAATATTTATGTACTAATTAGGTGATAATTTTCTTCACAGGATATGGGTTTAAAGGTGTTCACCAACTCAAAGATTCATAAACCCAGAGTGTGTTCATACGATTATGACGAAACCTATTCAAGCGCAGGAGTTGACGAACTATACGATTTATCAGGTAAAATAATAATAATAATAATAATAATTTGCCTAATATATTGAACTAAATAAAAGGAATTATTAAAATTAACCAAAAAAACACTTGTGATTCAGATATATCAAGGTTACATAGCAATACGACCCCAAAAATTCTGATTGCATCAAGCCCCCACATATGCAAAGCTGAAGAGATCACATGGCAGATTGTGAAAAGTGTTGAAAGACAGGGGAATATGTGCAGAATAAAAGAAGGGATGGATTCTGATTGAGGAATAAGAAAAGCCAGTCATAAAGAATTTGTATCTAGTACATAAAAATATGTGGCGGTCAGAAAGAAAGAGAACGTTTTCAGGCATAGGATCAGTGTAAACAGAAACAGAAATGTTCATAAGTCGGGCTACATTCTCGCCAATCAAGTGAATAAATTCCTTAATGTCCCAATAACATCAGGCAATATTTGTGTTGAAATCACTCACTTGTCAGTGATATAGGCTATTTCTTTGATGAGTCAGATAGTAATGAAGCATTTGCTTCTAGTCTGATTGTCAAATCATGGTTGAAAACAGGTTGAGTACAAACCAAAGAGTTTGTCAAATATCAAGAAAAAAATTCAGCCTAGTTGGTTTGGCTCAGTGGATAGAGCATAGGCCTGTAGACTGAAAGGTTCCAGGTTTGATTCCAGTCAAGGGCACATGCCCAGGTTGGGGGCTCGAGCCTCAGTAGGGGGCATGTAGGAGGCAGCCAATCAATGATTCTCTCTCATCACTGATCTTTCTCTTTCTCTCCCTCTCCCTTCCTCTCTGAAATTAATAAAAATATTTTTAAAGAAAAAAATTCAACGATGAATTGTCTATCTGGAATTTAAATTATTGTATATTTGTATTATTATTTATAAATTATATTCTATAATCTTTTATCAGATTTATAGTTATGTATGTACAAGTATATATATATGCACAAATATTTTTCCTGTGTGCTTTGAAGTTGTAGTAAACAGGATAAGAGATTCTAACTCTGATTTTTTGACACATAAGGAAATAAAGAGCTTTTTTTTCTTTAATCCTCACCCGAGGAGTGAAAATATTTTTTTCATTGATTTTTAGAGAGAGTGGAAGGGGAGAGAGAAAGAGATGTGAGAGAGACACATAGATCGGTTGCTTCCCGCATGTCTCCCCACCAGGGCCGGGATCTAATCTGCAACCCAGGTACTCTTTTTGTAATCCTTTATCCTTTCACTCCCATGAACTGTTCCACAAAGCCCCTGCCGTGATGTCTGGATATGATTTCTCTTTTCTCCCACAGAGAAACATACCAAATGGAAATTTTGATTCCTCCCTCCTCCCGCCCCCATGTCATAGAAATCTTCACTTGCACAATGTGCAGGAGCCACAGAGGACTCCTTGTGCCCCACTGACAATCCTAGGCTCTTTCTGCCTCTGTCTCTATATTCTCTGTGATTCTCTTCCCCCACCTCACTCCTAGCTTATTTCAATAGTTAAGAATTCAGCTAAAACATTACCTTCTCAAAGAAGCTTTTCCTTAACACCCAAGTGTCTTCTGCTGGTTCCTATTTCATCACCTTGTTTATTTCTCTTGTATCACTTATCACAGTCTCTTATAAGCTTGAACTTTATATTTATTGTTTTTGTCTCCTCCCTCACCCACCATAGACACAATGACAATGAAAGGCAGCAGTTTTCATTCAGTAGGTGCTTCAGGGCCTGTCACAGAGCCTGTCACAGAGACTGTGAGAAAATACTTTCCTGAGACGTGGATCTGGGACTTGGTGGTAGTAGAGTAAGTAACTTTCTCTTTTTTTAATTCTTTATTAGTTTAGATGTTACAAATGTGTCCTCATCCCCCCCCCATTAACCCCCAACCTCCCCCCGCCCCGAACACTCATGCTCCCATCCCCCTGTTGTCCATGTCCATTGGTTTGGCTTATATGCGTGCATACAAGTCCTTCGGTTGATCTCTTCCCCTTACCCCCTCCCTCCCCTACTTTCCTTTTGGGGATTGATAGCCTGATCGCTGTTTGTCTGTCTTTGGATCTGTCCCTGTTCATTAGTCTATGTTGTTCTCTATAATCCACAAATGAGTGAGATCATGTGGTATTTATCTTTCTCTGACTGGCTTATTTCACTCAGCATAATGCTCTCCAGTTCCATCCATGCTGTTGCAAATGACAAGAGTTCCTTCTTTTTTACTGCAACATAGTATTCCATTGTGTAGATGTACCATAGCTTTTTAATCCACTCATCTGCTGACGGGCACTTAGGCTGTTTCCAAATCTTAGCTATGGTGAATTGTGCTGCTATGAACATATGGGTGCATATATCCTTTCTGATTGGTGTTTCTGGTTTCTTGGGATATATTCCTAGAAGTAGGATCACTGGGTCAAATTGGAGTTCCATTTTTAGTTTTTTGAGGAAGCTCCATATTGTTCTCCACAGTGGCTGCACCAGTCTGCATTTCCACCAGCAGTGCAGAAGGGTTCCTTTTTCTCCACATGCTCTCCAACACTTGTTGTTTGTTGATTTGTTGATGATAGCCATTCTGACAGGTGTCGTTTGGATTTGCATCTCTCGTATAATTAGTGACTTTGAGCATGTTTTCATATGTCTTTCGACCTTCTGTATGTCCTCTTTCAGAAAGTGTCTATCTAGGTCCGTTGCCCATTTTTTTATTGGATTGTTTATCTTCCTATTGTTAAGTTTCATGAGTTCCCTGTAAATGTTGGAGATTAAACCCTTATCAGTGATATCATTGGCAAATATGTTCTCCCATGTAGTGGGTCTTCTTGTTGTTTTGTTGATGGTTTCCTTTGCTGTGCAAAAGCTTTTTATTTTGATGTAGTCCCATTTGTTTATTTTCTCTTTAGTTTCCATTGCCCTAGGAGCATTGTCAGAGAAGAAATTCCTTCGGCATATGTTTGCAATTTTGCTGCCTGTGGATTCCTCTAGTATTTTTATGGTTTCCTGTCTTACATTTAAGTCTTTTATCCATTTTGAGTTTATTTTTGTGTATGGTGTGAGTTGGTGGTCTAGTTTCATCTTTTTGCATATATCTGTCCAATTTTCCCAACACCATTTATTAAAGAGACTGTCTTGACTCCATTGTATGCTCTTGCCTCCTTTGTCGAATATTAATTGGGCATAGTGGTTTGGGTCGATTTCTGGGGTCTCTATTCTATTCCATTGATCGATATGTCTGTTCTATTGCCAGTACCAAGCTGTTTTAAGAACAGTGGCTTTGTAATACAGTTTGATATCTGGTATTGAGATCCCACCTACTTTGTTCTTCTTTCTCAGGATTGCTGCAGCTATTCGAGGTCTTTTATTATTCCAGATGAATTTTTGGAACATTCGTTCTAGATCTGTGAAATATGCCATTGGTAATTTAATGGGGATTGCATTGAATGTATAGATTGCTTTGTGTAGTATGGACATTTTGATGATGTTGATTCTACCAATCCATGAACACGGTATGTTCTTCTATCTGTTTATGTCTTCCTCTATCTCTTTTTTCAGTGTCCTGTAGTTTTTCGCATATAAGTCTTTACCTCCTTAGTTAAGTTTATTCCTAGGTATCTTAATTTTTTTGGTGCGATGGTAAATGGGATTGCTTTTTTAGTCTTACTATCTGTAAGTTCACTATTGGTGTAAAGAAATGCCATGAATTTCTTGGCATTAATTTTGTATCCTGCTACATTGCCAAATACATTTATTAAGTCTAATAATTTTTGATGGAGTCTTTAGGGTTCTCTATGTACAGTATCATGTCATCTGCAAATAAAGAAAGTTTTACTTCCTTCTTTTCCAATCTGGATGCCTTTTATTTCTTCTTCTTGTCTGATCGAAACGGCTATTATTTCCAGTACTATGTTGAACAGGAGTGGTGAGAGGGGGCATCCCTGTCTTGTTCCTGTTTTTAGGGGGAATGGTTTTAGTTTTTATCCATTGATTATGATGTTGGCTGTGGGTTTGTCATATATGGCTTTTATTATGTTGAGGTATGATCCCTCTATTCCTATCTTGCTGAGAGTTTTTATCAAGAAAGGGTGTTGGATTTTGTCAAATGCTTTTTCCGCATCAATTGATATGACTATGTGGTTTTTTCTCTCAATTTGTTTATGTGATGTATCACATTTATTGATTTTTGGGTATTGTACCATCCTTGCATCCCTGGGATAAATCCTACTTGGTCATGGTGTATGATCTTTCTGATGTACTGCTGGATCCGATTTGCTAGGATTTTGTTGAGGATTTTGGCATCTATGTTCATGAGGGATATTGGCCTGTAATTCTCTTTCATTGTGTTGTCTTTACCTGGTTTTGGTATTAGGGTGGTGCTGGTTTCATAGAATGGGCTGGGAAGTGTTCCTTCCTCTTGGATTTTTTGTAGTAGTCTGAGGAGGCTAGGCTTTAGTTCTTCCTTGAATGTTTGGTAAAACTCCCCTGTGAAGCCGTCTGGTCCTGGGCTTCTGTTTGCTCGAAGCTTTTTGATTACTGCTTCAATTTCCTCCATAGTTATTGGCCTATTGAGATTTTTAGATTCTTCCTGATTAAGTTTTGGAAGGTTGTATTTTTCTAGGAATATGTCCATTTCCTCCAGGTTGTCTAGTTTGTTGGAGTAGAGTTGTTCATAGTATTTTCTAACAATCCTTTGTATTTCTGTGGGGTCTGTTGTTATTTCTCCTCTTTCATTTCTGATTTTGTTTATTTGGGTCCTCTCTCTTTGTTTCTTGGTGAGCCTGGCTAGAGGTTCATCAATCTTGTTTATCCTTTCAAAGAACCAGCTCTTGGTTTTGTTTATCTTTTGTATTGTTTGTTTTTTTGGTTGTTTTTTTTTTTTTGTCTCTATGTTGTTTATCTCCGCTCTGATCTTTGTTATTTCCTTCCTTCTGCTTACACTGGGCTTTTCTTGTTGCTCTCTTTCTAACTCTTTGAGTTGTAGAGTTAGGTAATTTATTCTCATTGTTTCTTGTTTCTTGCAGTAGGCTTGTAGAGCTATGAATTTCCCTCTCAAGACTGCTTTCGCTGTGTCCCATAGGTTTTGGATTGTTGTGTTTTGTCGTTTGTTGCCACGGTGTTTTTTATTTCTTCTTTGATCTCTCTGGTAACCCAGTCATTGTTTAATAGCATGCTATTTAGTCTCCATGTGTTTGATTTTTTTTAAAATATATTTTATTGATTTTTTTACAGAGAGGAAGGGAGAGAGATAGAGAGTTAGAAACATCGATGAGAGAGAAACATTGATCAGCTGCCTCCTGCACATCTCCCACTGGGGATGTGCCCGCAACCCAGGTACATGCCCTTGACCGGAATCGAACCCGGGACCTTTCAGTCCGCAGGCCGACGCTCTATCCACTGAGCCAAACCAGTTTCGGCTGTTTGATTTTTTGGGTTGTTTTTATTGTAGTTGATTTCCAGTTTTATGCCATTGTGATTTGAGAAGATGCTTGATATGATTTCAATCTTCTTGAATTTGAAGAGACTTTGCCTGTGACCCAATATATGGTCTATCTTTGAAAATGACCCATGTGCACTTGAGAAGAATGTATATTCTGTGACTTTGGGGTGAAATGTTCTGAGGAGGTCAATTAATTCCATCTGATCTAGTGATTCATTTAGGATTAATGTTTCTTTGCTGATTTTTTGTTTAGAGGATTTGTCCAGTGGTGATAATGGGGTGTTAAAGTCCCCTACTATGATTGTATTGCTGTCAATCTCTCCCTTGATCTCCTCCAGAAGATTTCTTACGTATTTGGGTGCTCCTATATTGGGTGCATATATGTTTACCAGAGTTATTTCTTCTTGTTGGATTGCTCCCTTTAGTATTATGAAGTGGCCTTCTTTATCTCTTTTTATGTCCTTCACTTTGAGATCTAATTTGTCAGATATAAGTATTGCTACCCCAGCTTTTTTTCCACTTCCATTCGCCTGAAAAACCTTTTTCCATCCCTTCACCATCAGTCTGTGTGTGTCTTTTTTTCTGAGGTGGGTTTCCTGTAGACAGCAGATATATGGGTCATGTTTTCTTATCCACTCAGTTACCCTATGTCTTTTGATTGGGGCATTTAATCCATTTACATTTAAAGTTATTATTGATAGATACTTGTTAGTCACCATTTTTGATCTTTACTGCTGTGTTCCTTCTTTGTTTCCTATTTTTTCTTTTTACAGCAGACCCTTTAGCATTTCTTGCATTGCTGGTTTGGTTGTGATAAACTCCCGTAGACCGTTTTTGTCTGTGACGCTCCTGATTTGACCCTCAATTTTGATTGATAGCCTTGCTGGGTACAGTATTCTTGGATTCCAACCCTTCCTTTGCATGACTTTGTATATTTCATTCCACTCCCTTCTTGCCTGATGTGTTTCTGTTGAGAAATCAGTCGCTAGTCTGATGGGGGATCCTTTGTAGGTAACTTTCTGTCTCTCTCTTGCTGCTTTTAAGATTCTTGCTTTGTCGTTGGTGTTTGCCAATTTAATTATAATGTGCCTTGGGGTCGGTCTTTTGGGGTTCATTTTGTTTGGGACTGTGTGAGCTTCTTGGATTTGTGTGAGTTTTTTCTTCCCTATATCAGGGAAGTTTTCTGTCATTTTTTCAAACAGGTTTTCTATTCCTTGCTCAGTTTCCTCTCCTTCTGGCACCCCTATTATTTTGATGTTGTTTCATTTCGTGTTGTCCCAGAGTTCTCTTAGGCTTTCCTCCTGCTTTTAATTTTCTTTTCTAGAAGCTGCTCTGCTTGGGTATTTTTTCCTACCTTGTCTTCTAGCTCGCTGATGCGGTCCTCTGCTTCTTCTAGTCTACTGTTGATGCTTTCTATTGAGTTCTTTATAGCAGTGATGTCATTTTTCATTTCTTCTTGGTTTTTCTTCATTTCCTCTTGGTTCTTACACATATTGTTGAATTTGTCTTCCATTCTTTTCATCCACCTTATGGCCATTTCTCTGAATTCTTTCTCTGACAGGTTGCTTGCCTCCACTGCCTCCATTTCGTTTACTTCCTTTTCTGATGATGCCTGTTTTTCTTTCATATGCGGGTTGGTTCTTTGTTTCACCATGATCTCTCTTCTCCAGGTGTTTGGTTATGTAGTTCTCTCTCTGCTGCATTGATTTAAAGGCACAAAATACAACACAACAAGGCACAACGTACAAGGCACTGAACACAAATGTATTCACGATATTAATAACCCCAAATAAAGGTGACCACCCGAGCAAAGAGAATTAGGGGATAAAGAAGAAAGAAGAGAAAAAGATAAAAGAAAAAAAAGGAGTGCAAAAAGGAGATTGGGAAAAGGGAGAAAAGACAAAAGTAAGAGAGAAAAGAGAGAGAATGAAATAGAAGAGGGGAAGAGACTATTTATATGGGGAGAAAACTCCAATAGAACCGCCTCTAATCCCAACAAATTCCAGCAACAGATCCCTGGAGATGAATGCAAACTACAAACAACCACTAATATCAAGCGAGGCAAGGGAAAACAGAAGCACAAAAATAACCGGAGAAAGAAAAAACAAAATAAAACAGAGAAATAAAAATAGAAAACAAAATAATCTCACAAACAAGCATAAAAACCCCCCAATATACTCAAAATCAAGCAAACAATAGCAAAACGACAGAGAGAGAGAAAAAAAATTTTTTTTGATAGTGAAGAAAGGTAAGAGAGAGCTGTATATGGATTTAGAGCAGGGGATTGGAAATTAGATATATAAGTAGGGTGAAATTTAGACAGGGGGTAAAAGGAAGGAATAGGGAAAATCTAAAGCAGGAATAGGGTAAGAGAAACAGGATAACAAAAGGGGAAAAGTAAGAAAGAGAGTTTTTGGCTTAAAGGTAAAGTTGAGGTAGAGAAAAATGATGCTAAAGGAATGATGAAAATAGAATGTAGAACACTAATCCCAAAATAAAATAAAAAAAAAATAAAATGACACTTTTAAAAAATGGTAAAATGATAGTAGTAATAATACTGATTAAAAATAAAAATGTAGTAATTAAAAAGGTAAACTCGGGTGATGAAAAAAATAAAATAAAATAGTTTCTTAATTAAAAGGTGAAAAAAGAATTTATAAAAAAAATAAAAATGTGCAGTAGTGAAGGTGCTTCAGATCTTCTACTCTTCTTTTTGGCATGCCTTAGTCCTGCCATGTATTCAGGAGAGTGTTGAATTTCCCTGCGATACACTGTTCCTTCGTGTTGTAAACCACAGTCCTGATTTTAAGGCAGGCTGTATTTGTTTCCCAGACTGCCTTTATTTGTGTTTACAGAAGAGTCAGTTCGTGGCTCTGCCTCTGGGTGGCAGTGTGTCTGGATTGACCTCTGAGGCTATAAGTCCTCTCTATCCAGTAGTTAGGGTTTATTTTCTCTATTGTACTTAAAACTGGTTTGGGAAATTCCACTGCCCAGAGCTGGTTCTTTAATCGTTACTCCCCCCTCTGTTTCCCAGGTTCCACAAAAACAACTTTCCCCTACCGTCTCTGCAAGTGACCCCAACTGGGCAATCCCACGCACTGGGTTTAATAATCAAACGCAAATATTTAAGGGGAAGTGTAAAAACAAGAGCCTGAGAATTTGCGGGAATTCGCAAACCTCCACCTTTCAGGTCTGTTCAGAGTCTCCGCGCGCCCTCTCTCCCCTGGCACCAAGTAGCTGGCACACTGGCAAAATCCGAGGCTGCTTTTTTGCATCCAGTCCAGCTATGGACTTATTTTTAGCGTTCCCTTCTGCCAGAAGCCCTGCAGGAGCCCTTCCACACTGGCAGATCACACTGGCCCCAACGGCCGTGGACTTTGTGGGGCGCAGATTTCCCCCTGCACGAGTCCCTCTCTCCAACCTGAATTTCAAACCACACCTTTAGGGGAAATCTAACCTTTCCGTGAGGAGAAGCAGGGCTCGTCTGAGTTCACGTAGTCGCGCTGCTTGAGATCCGTTGTTTCTGGGTTAGTAGCCGATCTCTGGATGCCAGGTCTTTGGATGTATGTGCTACCAATAACAGCTACTCAAGATGGCACGGTTGCCGCAGCTGAGCCAGCACTCTGGGAGAGATTTCAGCTGCAGTCTCCAACCGTCCCCTTTCTCCATGAGTCCTCTGTCTTCTCTGGCTGCAAACTCTCTCAGCTGAATATCCTCTGCTTAATTGGGCTGTTCGTTACCCATTTCAGCTATTCACCCTTATCTCCTCCGGAACAAGGCATGGGACACGTTCGTCTATACCTCCACCATTTTCTCTCCTCAGTAACTTTCTTTATATATAAGATACAACAGTAGATATTCCTCAGAATTTTCAATTTTTAGTTAATTTTTCAATGTCCCAGTATTATATGGACACATTGTTGTTTTTAGGAGAAATTGGACATAACTACTTCTGCTATGGCACCTCACTAATAAATTGCATCAGAGCTAAGAAATTTTGCACAAATTTAATTCAAAAATGTCCAAAAAACAGGCATGAAGACCAAACAAAACCAAGCACTGCATAGATTAACACTTTAGAGAGACCCTTTATTGATCAGCATTCTTGAATTAAGAACAGAATCAGTAAGGCAAACTATACACAATAGTGGTAGAATTGAAAATTATAAACTTGCCCTCAAGTGGAACAATATTTTAGAGATCAAAATTTAAGAACAATCTCAAATTACATATTTAGTTTATAACTATACTAGAGGCCTGATGTACAAAATTTGTGCAAGAGAAGGCCTTCTTTCCCCTGGCTGCTGGCACCGGCTTCCCTCTGGCACCCAGGACCTGTGCTTCCCTCACAGAGAGAGGCCCCGCCCACCAGCCACATCCCGCCTGTCAGTGACCTGGGCCTCCCTCTGCTGGGCGATCATTGGGCAATGGCCGAGCCCCGACCAATCGCATCACACCCGCCTTGGCTGGCCTGGTGCAAATGGGTGTCATAGCATGGTCCCGGGTAGTCCTCCGGATGGTCGTTTCTCTGTTTGGCCATTCAGTCGATTTGCATATTATGCTTCGGTTATATAGGATTATATAGGATCGTCTATAATAGATTATACTGCAGCTATATGTCTATAGGAGATTCTAATATAGACTAGACTTTAAAATGATCAGATTTAAAAGAAAAGGAGTTATATGACTCTATTTTTAAGCCTTGCATATACTCTTCATTATTAGTATTTCTTCTGAGTGCATCCAAATCATGACAATAGAGTCATATATAGGGGTTCCTAGAAAGGATTTATTTAATTGCTTACTTTCTGTTCTTCACATTGCCATCCTCTGCAGCTCATCAGGCGTGGCTGAAGTAGGAGTAAGAGTCCCTGATACCATCACTGAGTGGAAGGCAGGGGCCTTCTGCCTGTCCGATGACACTGGAATTGGCCTCTCTCTTCCCACCACTCTCCAAGCCTTCCAGCCTTTCTTTGTGGAACTCACAATGCCCTACTCTGTGATCCGTGGAGAGGCCTTCACACTCAAGGCTACTGTCCTAAACTACCTTCCCAATTGCATCCGGGTAAGGACCTCGCTTTCCTAAATTGAACACAAGGTTAATTAAATTAAAATTGCATTCCTAGGAATACGATCAAACTCCCGTGTGGAAAATGTGCTTATCAGAAGAAGAGTACTATTAGATATTCATATGCATATTCATAACTATAGTTGCTGATATCTGCAAATACCAGATTGCAACTTAAAACGAGTTTCTGAGTCCCTTTTTTTTCCTTTCTAATATTTTTAAATTACATTTACTGGGGTGACATTGGTTAACAATATTTCATAGATTTCAAGTGTACATTTCTAAGATACATGATCTGTATATTGCATTGTGTGCCCACCATCCAAAGTCAAATCATCTTCCATCACCACATATTTGGCTCCCTTTGCTACCCCCACTCTTTTACCTCTGGTAACTAGCATACTATTGTCTGTGTCTTGATTTTCAATTTTATATCGCACATATGGGTGAGATTATATGGTTCTTAGCTTTTTGTGACTGACATTTCACTTAGCATCCTATTCGGAAAGTCCATCCATGTTGTCTCAAGTTTCTAACTCATCACAGTCTTCTAAGGTTAGGAAGTTTGTGTCGTATGAAGATTTCTGATATAGACATCAAAAATCAATAGGCGTCATTTACAGGTCTTAGATTCTTCAAGGTTTCAATCTCTACATTCCCATATATTTAACTTTTCATGTGTCATTAATTTAAAATTATTTGTGAGCATCTTATATCCACTGAAATCATAACTGTTTACCAATCTCGTGAATTTTGCTGGGAAAGCTGAGAGAATGGTCAAGATTTCAGGCCAAAGAAGTAGAGCTCCCACCGGCACATGTCATCATGACTTTTCCTCACCTCTGGTTTCACCACATGAAAGAGCAGGTTATACCAAAATACTAATATTTCAAGTTCAATTCTACCTATAAGGTCTTCAATATTAGGCAACCTGAAATCTAACCACTCTCCAAAATGCTTTATTTCACCCCATTCTTCTTTGGTCCCCTTCTTCCTCTGATCTCGTCTCTGTCTCACATGTGATTTCAGGTCAGGGTGCACCTAGAAGCCTCTCCTGCATTCCTGGCTGTCCCAGGGGAGAATGAACCAGACTCACCCTGCATCTGTGGGAATGGACGACAAACCGTGTCCTGGGCAGTAACTCCAAAGAAATTAGGTGACGGACAGATTCCTAAAACTACTCAATCCTACTCAAAGATTGTATGTCAGTGGGATTCTTATATCTAGTTCTACTTCCCTCAGGCAAAGACACCCCTTCCCCAGATGGTAGGATTTTTTTCTTTGTCTTTTATTCTAGGAGGTCTAGAAGGATATTTTTACTTCCCTCACCTCCATTTCCACCTCAGATGCTCAGTATCATTATTCTCTAGCTTGTGCTGCTTCTATTCCTGCTCCTATGTTTTTAAAACACAACAAAAAAGGGGGGGCGGGTACAGAACATTTCTAAATCTCGGGGTTTAGAGGATGGAAGAAAGGGGGGGTCGTACTCATATCTACTGGCTCTTCTTTCAGGGACTGTGAATTTCACCGTGAATGCAGAGGCACTGGAGTCTCAAGAGCTGTGTGGGACTGAGGTGCCTGTGGTCCCTCAATATGGAAAGAAAGACACAATCATCAAGCCCCTTTTGGTTGAAGTGAGTAAGCCTGCCCATTTATAGGTAACAATGTGTCAATGAAAACAATGCTAAATTCAGTTGAGATTATAACTCTTAGGTAAGAATGGCTACAAAATATATAGTCATGAGATATTTCATAATATTCTTTTATAGATATTGATATATATATATCGGTATCTGCCTCTATTTGTCTTTCCATCTCTCTCTCTTAATTTATTTTCACATTTTCCCCTCACTTTCTCATCTAACAATCTGTCTCCTTCATATTGCTTTTGCTTATAGAATTTATTTATATAATATACTTGAAAAATCAGTTCTAGTTCTTCTCTTTACTATCAAGAAATTTGTGGTTGCCCTATCAATACAAGTGAAAGTCAGTTCATTCTCTCCTCTAATTTTCCTTTCGTTCCATATAAAGCCTGAAGGAATAGAGAAGGAAGCAACATTCAACTCCCTGCTTTGCCCATCAGGTAAGAATCAGCCTTAATAATTAAAATAACATTAACTAAAGTTTGTATAACATTTGAAGCTCGAAGAATTTTATATATTATTTCTACATGCACCCTATTAGTTAAGTAAGACCCAAAGAGCCATTCAACCCATCTGACAAATGATAAATATGGTCTTAGAGAGGTCAAGAAATTTGATCAGGAGAATATCCATAGGTCATGCATTTTGAGTCTTTTTCTCTTACAGCAGCTGTGCAACCACTAAAATGTCTTTCTGACCAATGTGTGATGTAGCTAAAGGTAGAACGTGGGTAGAATCAGAATATTACCAAGGGTATATTTTTCTGAATATTTAGTAATACAATATATGAGTAGCTAAATTCAGGCCGCCCAACAGCATTTGATAATGGGACCATGCTATTTCCTGAAGAAGTTGTCATAGCCTGTACCATTACTGTTACGTCAGTATTTGTATGATGCCAATCCTGTACCTAAGGCTCTGTCAGTCATTTGGCAGGGACTTACAGTAAAAGACATAACTTTATCTTGGTGGAGAATTGTCTACAAAAACATTTATAAAATTTAGTACACTAGGAAATATATCAACACAATGTGTTCTTACCTCAAAGTGATGTCAAATCAACATCACATATATGTTCCTTGCCTTTCTTTGTCTTCCTACTAATTTCTGTCCATTATGATTTTTATATTGTCAAGACTTCAAATATATAAAATGTGTACTAAAAATATAATTGCTTGCTTGTTTAGCCTTATTTATACATTAAAATGAATTTAGTGTTATCACCAAATCCTTTTATCATGGTTTCTCCTCCAATTCTGTGTTCATTTTAATTTAACTCTTAAACATCTATTTAGAGCTAATCATCAGTTAGTTTTATTTTAACTAACTTTAATTACCAGTGTAATACAAAAATGCATTCTCCTTAAAAAAAACACTTCATAATAAGGTTAATGTCACCCTTATAGCCTTTTTCAATACTTCAATGATCACCCGTGTATGTTTAGAAATAATATGTGTAGACGAATTTGTTTGTGTATTTATACGGCATAAGTTTCATTCTTTTGCTTGCTTACTTTTACTCAGTAATTTGTCTTCAAAATTTATCCATATTAAATTATAAATCTAGGTAATTCCTTTAAGTTCCCTTTAATTTCATACTATAATATATCACAGTTCTGCTTGGTTTTTATAGTCATTCTCAAATTGTTTTTTCCAATTATTCATCAGAATAAAGGAATAAATAAATACATGCATGGATAAATAAATATATGCATGCATGCATACAGGATGGGGCAAAAGTACATTTACAGTTGTTCCTATGGAAAATAATTCAATAGTTGATCAATAATAATACAGAATAAATTGTGTTCCACGTTTTCATAACTGTAAACTTACTTTTGCCCCATTTGTACATACATACACAAATGTAGGCGCCCTGTGTACAAAGTAGATATCAAAATGTGAAATTCCTGATTAGAAGGCAGTAAGCATATTCTTAGTTTTAACAAAATAATTTTTTACTTAAATTCATGTTTATATTTTCACCAATTTACATTCCCCACAATGATCACCATCATCTATTACCATAAAAGTTTTCATTTTAACCAAAAATTTGGTTGTTTTAACTTATATTTCTCTAATCACAAGTGAGGATGAGCTTATTTGTACATGTTTACGAATTGCATTTATATCCTTGACTATTCTAAACTGTTGGGAGTAGTTTGTCCTTTTTCTGATTCAACTGTAGGACACTGAATCTTTATCTACTGAATAAGTTACAAATATTTTCCTTTTTTAAATAACTAAGTTTGGTTTTTTAGTTTTTTTTTAATATATTTCTTTATTGATGTCAGAGAGGAAGGGAGAGGGAGCGAGAGATAGAAACATCAATGATGAGAGAGAATCATTGATTGGCTGCCTCCTTCATGCCCCCTACTGGGAATCGAGCCGGCAACCCAGGCATGTGCCCTTGACTGGAGTCAAACATGGGACCCTTCAGTCCACAGACCAACACTCTATTGACTGAGTCAAACTGCTAGGGCTACAAATATTTTATTTTCTTTTGGTTGGTAGTTTGTCTTTTTAGTTTACTTATGTCTGTTTCCTTATAGAAGTTTTCTTTTTTTTTTAAGTAATAGTTTTTTAACATACAAATAATGTATGCATAATTAATATAACTATATGTATTAAATACATAACTACATTATATACTTAACTACATGATTGAATTTAAATTTAATTATAACTAATATAATTAAAAACATACATAATGTAGACTTCTTGATGAGTTTGAAGATATAACTATATACCACAACCTTTACCATAAACCTAACCATCATCTCAAAAAGTTTCCTCCCACTCTATTATTTTGCACTAGAGGCCCAGTGCATGGATTCGTGCACTGGTAGGGGCGTGGCTTGTGGGGATCAGCCCGCTGAGGGAGCAGCCACTCATCCGGGTCAGCCAAGTGGCTGTGGACCCATCCTCTGAGCAGCTGCTGACTGAGTGAATGAGGAAATTAGTCTGAGCTGATATTTCGGGGTAATATCTTGGGTAAAGGCATGTTCTGTGTCCTGGGGGAACCTGGCAGAGAGCTTTGCACCCCAAAGCCACTCAGTAAATGTCCTCGATGTGTGATGCCAGGTAGGTGACACCATCAGGGATGTTCAGGGCAGCCATGCTCCAGGACCTTCAGCCATCAGGACAGCCTCCCCGGGGGATTCACAGTCATGTCCCCTCTTGCCAACCACCTATGCCAGCTCCTCACACTCTTTCTAGAACACACCTCAGAGAGCCTGCATCAGCTGGGGTCAGGTCAAAGTCTGGATTGTCTCAAGTATTTGATAGGTGCAAAGACTCAGCCTCACCCTGGACCTGTTAGTGGCTGCTCCCACTGCAGGAGCAGCCGCTCATTCCAGTTAGCTGAGCGGCACTTCCACTGTGGAAGCACACTGACCATCAGGGGACAGCTCCTGCATTGAGCGTCTGCCCCCTAGAGATCAGTGCACATCATAGCAACTGGTCAATCGGTCGTTCTGGTCATTCTGCCATTTGGTCACTGGGCTTTTATAAATATAGACTAGAGGCTCGGTGCATGAATTCATGCACCGGTGGGGTCCCTCGGCCTGGCTGGCCATTGGGGGAAGGGACCATGGGAGGTTGGCTGAGCACGGGAGGTAGGCTATGGGAACACACTGACCATGAGGGGGCAGCTCCTGCATTGAGTGTCTGCCCCCTGGTGGTCAGTGCGAGTCATAGCGACAGGTCAAGTGACCATTCGGTCACTTAGGCTTTTATATATATAGATGATAAGAACATTTAAAATAAGATCTATCCTATTAGCAAGTGTTTATGTATACAATACAGTATTGTTAACTACAGGCACTATGCTGAATGGTAGACCTCTAGAACTTATGCAGCTTGAAGAACTGAAACCTTGTACCTTTTGACAAAAAATTTTATTAATTTTACAAGGAAGAAATGTAGCATTAAGATAAATACACTTCACTTTTTTTCATCTTCATGTGATTCACCAACATTAAAATGGCAGCAAATGTATGCTTATCAGCAGCAATTATCTCATTTATTTTCAATGAGTCAAATTTTATTCATCTTTGCCCCATCCCTATGTCTAGGACTTCCATAAAAATACTATTTTCATATTTGGTGAAATTTGATGAATGTTAAGATAGAGCATTATTATAGAATTTAGGAAATTTTTGATATTTTTATTTTGTTTATGTATACATGAGGGGAGTATGTGTGTTTTTTCTGTCATAACTGTTGAGTAAGGAGGTTGGGGTGGACATTAAATATATTATTTTGTGATAACCATCTTGTATCAGCCATAGGATGATATCAGGGGCACTAGTAAATGTGTAGGCTTCTTTTACAAAGCAACTCTATACATAAATAGAAAAAGTGGTTGGGGGAGGACCACTTATAAAAAACTGGAATATTAAAAGAGAGACAGCTTTTCAGAAGTTTAGGTAAAGCATAGTTCTGACTTCTTGGTCTTAGAGCTCTTCAGGAGGATATATAGCAGAAATAGTTTTCATTATGGCTGACTTGTTTTTTTCTCTAGGTGCTGAGGTGCCTGATCAAGTATCTCTGAAGCTGCCACCAAATGTGGTAGAAGACTCTGCCCGAGCCTCCTTCTCAGTTTTGGGTAAGTCTCCAGGCCAAGTAGATTATTCTAGTACTAGAGGCCCGATGCACAAAATTCGTGCAAGAATAGGCCTTCCTTTCCCTGGATACTGGCACGGGCTTCCCTCTGACACCTGGGACCCGGGCTTGCCTCACAGCCCTAGCTTCATCCAGAAGGTCGTCTGGAAGGATGTCTTGTCTAATTAGCATATTACACTTTCATTATTATAGATATTGACAGTTTCTACTACATTTTTTTCCATAAATGCTTTCTCAAAATAAAAATTATAATTTAAACTTCTTCCTTCTTTCCTTTTTTAGGCTTGTTTATTGATTCCAATCATACTTCTATCCCTGGAAAATTTACCTTTCCTAAAAATCTTCATTTCTTTTCCCCAGCTAACAATTTATTTATTTAGGATTCTGATAAGTTATAATTGATAAGCTTTATGACTTCCTATCTCTCCCATTCTTTAGGAGACATATTAGCCTCTGCCATGAGAAACACACAAAATCTCCTACAAATGCCCTATGGCTGTGGAGAACAGAATATGGTCCTCTTCACTCCTAATATCTATGTTCTGAATTATCTAAATGAAACACAGCAACTGACTCCAGAGGTCAAGTCCAAGGCCATTGGCTTCCTCAATACTGGTGAGTGACTGAATGAGTGAGTGAAAACTTCACAGTATTACTTCAACAATAGATTGGATTGCCCAATAGGCTTGAGTTACTTATCAATACTATGATACATTCGCTTATCATCCTATGATAGTTCTTATGATAAGAATACTATGAAAGTTAATTTCATGGTAACTATCCAGGGTCCAAATTCCAATAAAATGTTTTGGACTGAGAACCTTCTAACATATGACAGCAAATTTTTAAAAATATCACAAGGCCAAAGCATTTTGATAATTCTCTGGCTACAGCATGTACAATCTTTCATACTGTTTCATAAACCTTCCGCTCCAGGTTACCAGAGACAGCTGAACTACAAGCACTCTGATGGCTCCTATAGTACGTTTGGGGAGACATATGGCAGGAGCACAGGCAATACCTGGTAAGAAAAGGAGTTTTTTGAGCTATTTTTGTGCCAGCTCATTTACATACATTATCATAATTATATTCACAGTAACCTTATCAAATATGTATTATTAAGCCTATACTTGATTCTACTAGATACATACACCAAGATTAGCAAGGTAACAAACAGAAAAGCTGAGATTCAAATACATGTATGCTACACTTGACCCCCAAATTCATCCTGTTAATAATACATCAAGGTCTTCTTTCTAAAATAATTTTTTTTCTAAAAACTATTCCCATAACCAAGAGCATTTTTATGATATGGCCAATGAACATATCATATAATTTCAGGTTCACTTCAGATTATATTATGTTTTTTTAGATCATACTCAAATTGACTGAGAATAAATTCACCAATAGAAGGAAAAAAATGAAAAGGACCTATGATATGAAACAGTTTTTCAATCTCTAAGGCAAAGCATTCTTAGAGGTTGTTATTGCATGTAAGAGTTGTATATGAGAAGATTCTGCCATCTACCAAAGGAAATCTCTAAGGAAAAGAAAGATTTAAAACCTTACTCAAATACATTTTTTTAAAGTAACATTAGAAGTACTTAGACTCTCTGTAGCAAAGAGGATGTGGGTCAGCAAGGAAATATACGACCCAGCAAATTAATTAGAGCTAGCAGTCCAAAGGAGATGGGAGCTCTACATACACAAGAATTCCTGTTAGATGACTAATATCTATGGGGCGCGGCTATAGTGCTTTGGCCAGGTTCAAGCCTCGGACTAATGAAAGCACAGGGTCCTCTCATTGCCACATGCAAGTCCCAGCTGGAGGGCAGGGACCTCCCAGCACAATTATAGCCAACAGCTATGGTTGTAAGCTTGAATCTATGGTCCAAACATATAGCCCCACGTGCCTTGTGATAGAGTTCGGGGGCATGTAGTTAAGTGAGGTTGAAACTCATGAGAATGCTGTAAACAACTTGATCACGCCCCTACTTTGCCTCATGGCATCTGCTATAAAATAAAGACACGGCTTGTGGGCGCTGGTGCTTTCTCCTCATCAGGGAGCAGCGTCCCACCGAGACCCAGCTTCCATTCTCTTGTCTGACTTTTCTCAATCCTTTCACCACCCCACTCAGGATCACCTTTGGCCGTAACAAGTGGAGCCCGAACAGGGACTGAGTTCTAGGAAAAGGGCCTGAGCTCGGGCTCCCCACAAATATCAATGTAAACAGTGTCCTATCAAGCCTATTGCTGCAAATTGGTTGTAAAACCATTTATGTAACAACACAAATATCATCATCCCTTCCTCCCCCCTCAGGCTCACCGCCTTTGTACTGAAGACTTTTGCTCAGGCTCGACGGTACATCTTCATCGATGAAGCACACATTAATCAAGCCCTCACCTGGCTCTCCCAAAAACAGAAGGACAATGGCTGTTTCAGAAGTTCTGGGTCACTGCTCAACAATGCCATTAAGGTGAAGTGTCCTCACACCTTTGACTTGCCCATGATGAGGCAAATCAAGGATGAGAACAGGGGGTAATAACCTAGGAATTCCTTAGGGAAGGTATCAGAAGAAAATAAAACCTGGATAGTAGCAAGAAAGAGGGGATAGCATTTAGGTTGATTATGATATGTTGCTCCATTGGGATGAACATGGAAAAGGATAAATTCCATGACAGTAGAAAACAGAGAACTAAGAGTCTTGTCAGAAGTTAAATTACTCAGATCTCTCTTGTGCATATTTACAGGGTGGAGTAGAAGATGAAGAGACCCTCTCTGCCTATATCACCATTGCCCTTCTGGAGATTCCTCTTCCCATCACTGTAGGTATCACCTCCTTCCCCTGCTGAAGCTTGAGTCTGGATGCCATGAAACTACTAACTTGCTGTGTGAACTATCACCCTACTAAAAGCCAAGTGTCAGCTTTCCTTCTATGCAATTCAATGCTTCCCAGCTCAATAGAGAATTTGGTCACTCCATTAAGAAAGATTTACACTTTCCCAGTGAGGCTCCTGGGCTATTTATTCCCTAACCATCCCCCAACCCAACTCACACACACACACACACACACACACACACACACACACACACACAATGAATTTGAAAGTTATAAGATATGGCCTATGTTTCTGCCTTATAAATGTGAGAATAACAGATAAAAAATACTATTTTCTCGATCCATAAGAATGAGGATAGATAGATAAATGCATTTGAAATTGTTTTTCACTTCCGTTCTACAGTCTGCATTTACCTGGGAACGCTAGCCTCCCTGTTCACACAGCTCAGTTCCCTTCTTGTCATTCCTTCACAGCACCCTGTTGTCCGTAATGCCATGTTCTGCCTGGAGTCAGCCTGGAAGTCAGCAAAGGAAGGACGCCATGGAAACCATGTCTACACCAAGGCACTGTTGGCCTATGCTTTTGCTCTGGCAGGTAACCAGGAAAAGAAGAATGAAGTACTCACGTCACTTAATGAGGAAGCAGTGAAGGAAGGTGAGTGCGTACCTGAAATCTTTCTCCCATCCCACATTCTCTGTATCAAATACTACTAAATTGCAAAATCCCCTCCACCTACCTCCTGTGACCCCTTTCTTCCTTCTTTTTTTGTCTATATCATTATAAAATCTAGGATTTCTTAATCAATTCACACATCAAAAAAGAAGAGGCAGTATACTGTAATAGTGACAAGCGTGGCCCCTGGAGACCACCTCCAAAATGTATTACTTATGTAACCGGGAGCTAGTCACTTAACTTGTCTGTATTTCAGTTCCCTCATCAGTAAAATGGTGATAACAATAGTATTTACCTCATAGGGTTGTTGTCAGAGTTAAATCATTTAATCCATGTAAAGCACTTGGTAGAGTATATGACACATAGTAAGTGCTATAAAAGTATGAGCTACTATGATTAAGATATCAGTTCTTAATATATATACCCAACCTTTACCTGGTGCATCATATCATCTGAAATATAAGAAAGGACTGAAGGAAGTAGCAACGTGAACAACTTCTGGTATTCTATGCTCATTTCACGAGACTGATAATGATGACAAATCTTTTTATGGTCACATAATACTTCTTTGTAAACAATGGTCTATATGGGGGAGGTCAAAGAAATAGAAAATAAAATGCAGATGATAAGATATTCAATAAAACATATTCTAACTTTCTCCCTTGACAGTGCCATTGATTGTTAATTCTTAAAATTATGTTGGGAAATATTTCATACATACAAGAAGTCATAAAGAATATTTAGCAAAAATCTTTATAATTCCTTTCAAGATTAAGAAATAAAATATCACCATTGTAGGAAAAATTCCCTGTATACCATTCCCATTCCAAAGGGCATTGTTATCCTGAACTTCTCATTACAATTTCTGTGGATTTCTTAATATTTTTATTGCAAATGTATCCCTAAATAATATTCAAAATTTTTACATTTTTCATCTTTAGATAAGCAGTATCATACTTTTGATTATTTCAGCATCTTATTTTCTTAGCTGTTTATTTGTTTACCTTTTGTTTTTCTTAAGTTCAACATTATGCTAATAGAAGTCCTCTATATGGGTTCCTGTAATTCTAGTTCATTAATTTTATTTTATTTTTTTATTGATTTCAGAGAGAAAGGAAGGAGAGAGATATAGAAACATCAATGATGAGAGACAATCATTGATCAGCTGCCTCCTGGTAGAGTATATGACACATAGCACTGGGGATCAAGCCTGCAGCCTGGGCATATAACCTGACCGAGAATCAAACCGTGACCTCCTGGTTCATAGGTCAAAGCTCAACCACTGAGCCACGCTAGCTGGACTCTAGCTCATTAATATTCACTGCTGAACAATATATTACAATACATACAAGGTCATGGTCTATATGGAGTGCCTTTCCTCATGGATCTTTTCTTCTTTCTTATTTGTTGCTATCACAAGCCATACTACAATGAATACATACATGTCTCCTTGTGCATCTGTGTGAATTTCTCTAAGTTATTCTTTGAGAAGTGTAATTGCTGAATAGTAGGCTAAGCACATCTTTCTCTTTGCTGGATATTGCCAAATTGCTCTCCAAAGAGCAGTTCACTTCCCACAGCACTGTAAATCAGTTCCCATTATTGCACATCCTTGTCCATCGTTGGTATTTTAAGGATTACTGTATTTTTTTCCCATTGAATGAGTATGGATTCTATTATCTCAAGTGATTCGTGATTCTCACAAGAAACCTCTAAGGACAGGCTTGATAGAAAATTTAACAAACCCCAGATAAGGTCTGCAAAATATCAGAAATGAAAATATATGATCACCAGTGAGAGAACATGCTCTGCTATTTTGCTCTCCCACCAACCCAACTATAGCAACCACTTGAAAACTTAGATGACTATGGGCTTCTCATTCCAGCAACATTTTCCCCCTTAATCTTGCTAACACAAACCATGTTCAGATTTACATAGAAGGAAAATCAACCAGATAAAGTTCAAGAGATTATTATAGAAATGCAACCCTCATTTCAGCTCTGGCTTAGGTACTTTAACCTTAAATTAAATGTGAATATATAGTCACTCATACATCGATTTTTCTCATCCCCAGATAGTTCTGTGCATTGGACACGACCTCAGAAACCCAAGGCACCAATGGAACATTTTTACCAACCCCAGGCTCCCTCTGTTGAGGTGGAGATGACGTCCTATGTGCTCCTGGCTCACCTCACTGCCCAGCCTGCCCCAACCTCAGAGGACCTGACTTCTGCATCACACATTGTGAAGTGGATCACAAAGCAACAGAACTCTCAAGGGGGCTTCTCCTCCACCCAGGTTTGTAGTTTCCCAAAACCTTTTACTTCACCTTCAGGTACCAAAAGTTTTGAACAAGATATAAACATATCCAAAAATACAACATAAAGATGAGAATACTTTGAAATGAGGAAAATATTATTAGAATTCTGAGAAATAAAGGGAAATGAAAGTCAAAGAGAGCTAAAAAGAAAATGTATAGAATTCTGGCACCCCTCCCTGTGTTATTATCACAGTCTCTTTTTTCCAGTAACTACTCTACCTCCCCTAAGGCAATAATGGGGTGCCACTGTCAATACCATAGCAGAATGACTTTAAAAATCTATCAATCTTTTGGAAGTTCTAAGAGTCCCTTTCAAAGTTCCCAGAAATACTACCAAAAACCCAATAATCTCTCCTTGAACATCTCTTCATTCTTAGGTCTCCTTTAACTGGTTTCTTGTAAAGCTGACACATTTTATGCTTCCTCTACCCATTTACTCATCCAACCTCCTGAGCCTAACAATATAACTTTATATCTAAAAAATTTATCAATAATTACACAGCAAAAAGTTTTTTATCTTCAGAGAATTTAGCTGTTAGCCTATATACCCATTACAAAATGCCATTCCATGCTTTCTTCATTATACTTAATGTTGTATTGTTTCATATGAATGGAAAAAAACTAAATAATGTTGTTAGAATGGTTAGCATTTATTTCTTATAAATATACTAGAGACCCGGTGCACGAATTTGTGCATGGGTAGGGTCCCTGGGCCTGGCCAGCAACTGGGGCCTATCGGGACTGGCCAGCTGGTGGGAGGGAACTGAGAGAGGTTGGCTGTAGGAGTGCACTGACCACCAGGGGGGCAGCTCCTGCATTAAGCATCTGCCCCCTGGTGGTCAGTGCATCTTCATATGACCAGTCATTCAGTCGACCAGTCATAATGGTAGCTTTTGGCTTTTATATATATAGATTATTTCAGGATGTCATCCAGGTTCAATGTTGATGAGAATTAAAAATATGAATATGAAAAGGAGAATTCAAACTTCCAGTAAAAAAAAAAGCCAAATAAAAATGCCAATAAATCAAGGAGATAATTATAATTATTTCCTTTGAAGAAACTGAAACATGACCTTGATCATGGCTACAAAGGACTCTTTTGAGGGCTCTTTTGAGACACTGACCTCAGCAGCAGAGTAGAATTTAATTTGGGGGCTAGAGCACAGCTGAACTTTGGTATAACCACAGTTGTCAAGTTTTCAAATGCTTCGAGAGTGATAACTGAACTTATTTTCACTGTTTTTCTCAATATGTAATTAAAAGTGAAAAAAGTATATTATAGATAGATAGATAGATAGATAGATAAAATAAAAGCCTAAGTGACCTTTACAGAGGAATGACCAGAAGGACCGGTCGCTATGATGTGCACTGACCATCAGGGGGCAGACGCTCAATGCAGGAGCTGCCCCCTAGTGGCCAGTGCACTCCAACAGGGGGAGTGCCGCTCAGTCAGAAGCCGGGCTCATGGCCGGCGAGCACAGCAGTGGTGGCAGGAGCCTCTCCCCCCTCCACAGCAGCACTAAGGAGCAGTGAGCTGAGCAGTAAGGAGCAGCAAACAGGCAGGTAGTAAGAAGCGAGGGCTCCCAGACTACAAGAAGGATGTCCGCCTGCCGGCTTAGGTCCTATCCCTGCGGGGAGTGGACCTAAGCCAGCAGGCAGACATCCCCCAAGGGGTCTTGAACTGCGAGAGGGCGCAGGCAAGGCTGAGGGACCACCCCCGCCTCCAGTGCATGAATTTCGTGCACCGGGCCTCTTGTATATATATAATCTATACTTTTAATGTGTATAGTAATTAATACTTAAGAATAATCCAATATCACATGATCTCATGCATTTATGGAATATAATGAACAACATGAACTGATGAACTAAAATAGATCCAGAGACAGAAAAGCATCGAACAGACAGTCAAACCTCAGAGGGAAGGCAGGGGAGGGTGTGAAGGTTGGGTAAGAGATGAACCAAAGGACTTGTATGCACGCATATAAGCATAACTAATGGACACAGATGCTGAGGGGGAAGTGCTGGCGGGTGGGCGTGACCAGGGAGGGGTGTACGGGGGGAAAAGGAAACATATGTAATACTTTAAACAATAAAAAAGGAATAATACAAAAGAAAAATGCATAGTTATGACTAAGCTTTATAATATTTCTGACCAAAAAAAGCTATTTGATGAAAAATATTATTCACAAAACAAATTTTTAGGCAAATAGCTAATGCCAATAAATGATTCCAATTTATGTGTATATTTTCTACATTTTATATCCCACATATATTTATAGAAAGAAAAGGATCAATTTTATGAGAAATAAAATAAAATTTAGGGCATATAGTCCATGGAAGCTATGTGAATACTATGGTGCTGTCATCTATTTAAGGATTCTAACCAGTAATGAAATTAGAACTCCAGTGTTTAAGTAGTGAGGGAAATAGGAAATCCAAAGCCCTTTTGTGGCAGTTAACTTGGGCCTCTGAGTCCTCAAAGGGTTATCATACCTAAGAGGTTCTCTCACTTGTCTCTCTCAGGACACAGTGGTGGCTCTCCATGCTTTGTCCAGATATGGAGCAGCTACTTTCACCAGGACTGGGAAGGCTGTACAGGTGACCATTCAATCTTCAGGGACATTTTCCACAAATTTCCAAGTGGACAACGACAACCGCTTGCTACTGCAGCAGATTTCATTGCCAAAGGTGCCTGGAGATTACAGCATGACAGCAACAGGAAAAGGCTGTGTCTACCTCCAGGTGAGACTCTTGGAGCAGATGAGGACAGAGGGTCCTTAGTAACCCTTCTCCCTGAAAAGTCCTAATTCAGGAAATGATGGAACAAATCAAAAAGTGTTGAGAAAGTTGGGAGAAATAATGGGGAAGGGGAAAATACAAATATTTGTCTTTGATGTTCCACAGACATCCTTGAAATATAATATTCTCCCCCAAAGAGAAGAGTTCCCATTTGCTTTGGGGGTACAGACTCTGCCCCAAACTTGTGAAGGACCCAAAGCCCACACCACCTTCCAGGTCTCACTGAATGTCAGGTAAGACTTTCTGACTGAATCACTTAATTCTGTGTATAACAACCAATCTTCTTACTGGAACTCCTCACTAAGCCAAGCACTGGGATGGTGAATGTTTGTACTACATTTACCAAAAAAGTAATATGTTCTTATGTTGATACAGAATTTCTCAGTGATGAGGTTTACATTGTACTTCCTCTACTTCCAGAAACTATTATTGTCACACCTCATTATTTAAAGGTTATTAATTTCCCTCACTAATAAGTAAAGGTATATCATTATCCCTTACTTCTGACCTGAATTTCTCATTTTATTATAATGTAATGATTCATCCTAATTTTATTCTATAGTAGTGAAATCCTATATTATTCTTGCCCTATCCAGAAAAGAGATGAGGAATTATTTTTTTATTTTTTAAGTTTGTAGTTTATTAATCCCTTCATTAAAATCTGCACAGTCACCTCAAATAAAGTCACTGAAGAATCTTTACTCCTTCTGCTGTCCCATCTCCAGTTCACTTTTGCCAGCACTAACATCTTGCATTCCTTTCCTTGTTTTTTTGTTTTTAGGTGGGGTTTTTTGAGGTCTTTTCTTCTCATACAGGCCATGTCTTACAAGTCTATATTTGGGTTCATTTTTCTTTGCATAATCCAAGAACCATACATCCTGCCAAAACCAGTTGTCTTGCCACCACCAAAATGGGTTCTGAATCCAAACACAAAGATGATGTGGTCTAATACGGTTTGGCTAGTTTTTCCCCGAAATTCTGTCTGAGGTACTGCTGCCTTCCCAGGGTAAAGGATGTCAATGACCATTTGTTTCCACAGTAGTCTGTTGGTCATGAACTTTCTGGTCTGAGTAGTTACTGTGTCGTTCATGATGGCAGCAATCTTCAAGTAGCCAGGGAGAAAAAGTGAGATGAGGAATTCTTGAAAAGCATGAATAGAAGGAAATCATGCCTCTCTAGTTAAAATTTCTACTGGCAATAATTAAATTTCAGATTATATACCCAAAAAATCAGTTTGGGGGAAAATACATATATGGAGATATATAGATAAACAGATATATAGATATGTAGATATAGAGATACATACACACACAATATTCAAATAGCTACAGGGCTTATAAAAAATGTATCTGTCGCTCTTTCTGGCATCCTTTTGTGCCATCATAAGGGTGCACATGAATGTCCTGGCTGATGCTCTCAGGAGTATCAACAATGCTGAAAAGAGAGGCAAATGCTACATTCTTAGTAGGCCATGCTCCAAAGTCATGCTCCAGTTCCTAACTGTGATGATGCAACACGGTTTCATTGGCAAATTTAAAATTACTGATGACTACAGAGCTGGGAAAATTATCATGAACTCACAGGCAGGTTAAACAAGTGTGGAGTAATCAGCCCCAAATTTGATATGCAACTCAAAGATCTAGAAAAATGGCAGAAAAACCTGCTTCCATCCCATCAATTGGTTTTGTTGTACTGACAACCTCAGCGGGCTTCATGGGTCATGAAGAAGCAAGTTAAAAACACAAAGGAGGGAAAATCCTGGGAATATTTTTCTGAGAATATCATACATATGTGAAAATAAAATGCCACAATGGACAAAAAGAAAATGTGTCTGTACCTAAGAATATTAAAACCTGGTTGGAGATAACTATTAAGGAAAAAAAATTAAGATAAAGTACATGTACTAAATAACTGACACAGGTTAGAGGTCTCAAGTCCAGCTATGCATCACTTGTAGAGCTTTCTGAAAACACACATCCTCAGAGTCCACACATGTGGAATTCTGATTCATCAGGTCTAGAAGTAGGCCTGATCTCTGTGGCTTTAACAGGCTCCCTGAAAATCTAATGCAGAGCCAGTTTTCTGAACCACTTGAGTAGGACACTTAGGAAGACTCCCATGAACCTTTTAGGGCTGTTGAGTGCTTACTGTGGAAATAGAAGAAAAAAAAAAGACTATTTAATAACAAAGAAAACCCCAATTCCTTCCTTCCCTGGATTTTCAGTTACACAGGGAACCGTCCTGCCTCCAACATGGCGATTGTTGATGTGAAGATGGTATCTGGCTTCATTCCCCTGAAACCAACTGTGAAAATGGTAGGAGTCTCTATTTTATTTACTGTTTTATATTTTTCTAGACTAAGACTATATTTTATAACCCTATTAAATCAACCTCTATGTTGCCCTGACCGGTTTGGCTCAGTAGATAGAGCGTCAGCCTGTGGACTGAAAGGTCCCAGGTTCGATTCCAGTCAAGGGCATGTACCTTGGTTGCAGGCACATCCCCAGTAGGAGGTGTGCAGGAAGCAGCTGATCGATGTTTCTCTCTCATTGATGTTTCTAACCCTCTATCCCTCTCCCTTCCTCTCTGTAAAAAATCAATAAAATATATATATTAAAAAAAAATAAATCAACCTCTATGAAAGACTGATACTTTCTCCAAACTTGGAAATATAATGTAGCATGTTTGTATTGCTGCCTCTATGAGCATAACACACTGCTGGAAGCCACACCTACTAGAAAAATAATGTCAACAGGTTCTTACTTTTAGGTAGCTCAGAATCTTGAAGGTAAAGTATCTACATATAAACGAGTGAAAAATATATGAAAATGACAGATTGACATAAACTATAACTATTACAGAAGGTCAGACAAAATGAGATAACTATAAATTAGAGCATGCAAAACAAGTAACAAAAACAAAATCACCTCCTGATTAAAAAATAGAATGTGAATTAGACCTTGAAATATATGCAATTCCCAAATTTAGAATATTTAGTTCCTTTTCTTCAGATAAATCAACTTTACACATAGGCCATATTAAACCCTACATCCCAATTAACTTTTATTTTTAATTGTACAACATTATTGTCTTTACTTACAAAAAATATTAGAAGAAATATTATCCTCAGGCTTAATATAATTTGGTAATAAAAATTCTTCTTTTCTCTGGGTTTCCCAGGGGCTTTCTTCTGTTTATTAACATTTGCAATGTCTTCCTGTTCTTCAGCTTGAAAGATCTGATGATGTGAGCCGAACAGAAGTCAGCAACAACCATGTTTTGATTTACCTAGATAAGGTGAGAGTCCTGCCACTCTAGTTGCAAAAAATCCTATATAATAAAAGCCTAATATGCTAAGTGTCCGGTCGTCCAGTCTTCGGTTTAAACAATCAAAGCATAATATGCTGATATGCTAAGGCCACTCTACCACTCACTATGACATGCACTGACCACCAGGGGGCAGATGCTCCAACTGGTAGGTTAGCTTGCTGCTGGGTTCCGGCCTATTGGGACTGAGCAAGATGGGCTGGACACACCCTGGAGCTCTCCTGCAGTCCCTCCCGGACTGGCCAACCTCCCGTGTCCCTCCCCGGTCCCAATAGTGCACCGGTGGGGTCCCTCAGCCTGGCCTGCACCCTCTTGCAATCCTGGACCCCTCGGGGGATGTTGGAGGGCCAGTTATAGCCAATCCCACAGGCCAGGCCAATGGACCCCACTGGTGCATGAATTCATGCACCGGGCCTCTAGTAAAGATAATCCTTCTAAGGGAGATATCTAGGAAATGAATGAAGGCATTTTTGAGACATCACTTCTATGCTAAATATTTGAGAATTCTAACATTAATTCCAGTACATGTTCTCTTCTCCTTCTTTATTTATATTTCATCTGGGGCTATGGAAAGAAATGGCTTATTATAATATTGGGATATTCATATTTCTAGGATTTTATAAGCAAGAAATTCTCTACCAAATATGCTTATTATATCCTCAAGTTATTCTGAGTAATGTAAGGAAGTACCATTGGGTTTGTCAATGATTATATCAATAATACATCAACAATATAAAAGGGGAAAATACTGTCAATCTCAGCAAGGACTTGGACCATAAAGTAAATAGATCAGCCCACCAATAAGCCACTCTAATTTTATATTTATATGCTGTACATAGTTTATTTATTTATAGATTGATGAATATTATAATTTACAAATTTATGAAACTTAATCAAGGTTACAATTATTGACCTTTTATATTCCTTTTTGAGTCAACACTAGTATTTCTGCAAGATAGAGAAATTAAATGGTGCCAAATTTCTGGATATTCAAAAATACATAGCTATCCAATCAATAAAATTCATATATCATTCACCTCTATGAACAAAACACTGATGGGGATATATGAATTGATTTATTTGTTTAAGAAACAATTGGGGTGCTTTCTGCACAATTTAAGAACCCTGTTAGTTGATTTTTTTTTAAAGGGGTTTTGCCCTAGCAAGTTTGGCTCAGTGAATAGAACATTGGCCTGTGGACTGAAGGATCCCAGGTTTGATTGTGGTCAAGGGCACGTACCTCAGTTGCAGGCTCGATGTCTGGCCCTGTTCAGTGTGCATGAGGGAGGCAACCAATCGATGTGTCTCTCTCACATCAATGTTTCTCTCTCTGTATCTCTCCCCCTCCTTTCCAATCTCTCTAAAAATCAATGGGAAAATATCCTCGGGTGATGATTAAGCAGAAATAAAAATAATAATAATAATTAAAAAAGAGTTTTATCCCCAAACAAATGAATATTTAAAGTCATTCAAAGAAAAGAGAAGAAAGCTCATTTAATTCCCTTTTGCTTTCTAGGTGACAAATCAGACTCTGAGCTTGTCTTTCACGGTTCTCCAAGATATCCCAGTAAGAGATCTCCAACCAGCCATAGTGAAAGTCTATGATTACTATGAGACGGGTAAGTGTGAGCAATTTTTACATACAAATTAAATTCCTGATCACAGAAATTTGGATTACAGAAACATGTAGGGGAAATTCATTACATTAATAGTTCTTAGCACTTCGTTTTGTCTTTATCAAATCTGATTCTCCTCTCTTTGCCTTCTATACATACACTAGAGGCCCGGTGCACAAAAATGTGTGCACTTGGGGGGGAGGGGGGGTCCCTCAGCCCTGCCTGTGCCCTCTCGCAGTCTGGGACCCCTCAGGGGATGACCACCTGTTGGCTTAGGCCCACTCCCCAGGGGATTGGCCTAAGATGGCAATCAGACATCCCTCTGGCAGCCCGGCAGCCCTAGGGGGATGTCTACTTGCCAGCGGGGAGCAGGCCTAAACTGCAGTCGGACATCCTTAGCGCTGCTGAGGAGGCAGGAGAGGCTCCCACCACCATCGCTGTACTGGCAGCCATCAGCCTGGCTTGTGGTTGAGCAGAGCTCCCCCCTGTGAGAGTGCCCTGACCACCAGGGGACAGCTCCTGCATTGAGCGTCTGCCCACTGGTGGTCAGTGTGTGTCATAGTGACCAGTCATTCCCAGTGGTTCTGCTGTTAGGGTCAATTTGCATATTGCCCTTTTACTATATAGGATAGAGGCCTGGTGCAGGGGTGAGGGCCAGCTGGTTTGCCCTGAAGGGTGTCCTGGATCAGGGTTGGGGTCCCCACTGAGGTGCCTGGCCAGTCTGGATGAGGGGCTGAGGGCTGTTTTCAGGCTGGCGGGTGACTGAAGCTCCAAACCTCTCCTTTTTTTCTTTTTCTTTTTTATTCTGGGATTTATTTACCTTCTATGGCTGTCACTGGAGCTGAGAGCCGGCTTTAGCTCTGAGGCTTGGCTCCAGCTCTGAGACCTCAGCTGCTAAAAGCAGGTATCTGGGTTTTTTGGGTTCTATAATTGAAACTCTGTTGCAACTCCAGCTCTGACAGCTGAAAGTAGGTTTCTGGAGCTTGTTTAGTTTCTATAATTGCAACATTGTTTCTTAGAGTGCAAGCTCAGAGGCCGGCAGTGGCAGGCGGGGAACGTTGGCTTCCTCCTTCACTGGAGAAAGCAAGCCTCCTGTTCACTTCAGCTGCCTGGCTGCAGCCGCCATCTTGGTTGGCAGTTAATTTGCATATCTCGCTGATTAGCCAATGGGAAGGGTAGTGAAGTTACAGTTAATTACCATGTTTCTCTATTATTAGATAGGACTATAGAAACTGCCTTCAATGTAAAGATAGCAATTAATACGAAATATCTGTAAGATATTTAGTTCCCTTTTCTTCAGCTAAATCAACTGTACAACAATATTTGATTTAAATAAGTTCAACATTGAACTGTCCCTTCAGGAGTACAGAGTAAAGGAAACATAATGTACTGTATGTGAAAAGTTAACAATATAAGGCAGCCAGCAATGCATCAAATGAATGCTGCTGATGTTTCTGACAAAATACAATTTTTCCCACAATACTCTTTCACTAACCTATATCCCATAAATGTTTGCTATCTCTCTCACTTCACCTAATGATTTTGTTTTTATGCAGATGAGTTTGCAATTGCTGAGTACAATGCTCCTTGCAGCAAAGGTAAGTAATTCACACTCCTTCCAAATGCAGTCAGAACCCCTTTGTTTTGTTCCTCAAATCTCCTCCATAAAATATTGGCTCAACACTCTTCATAGACATCATATTGCTCATGGTGTAACTTATTATACAAAACTGCATTTATCTGGAGAGGACACTGCTGGTTAAACTTCAGATAGTTCAGAGGATTGCTGATTTGATCATTATAAGTAATGGATCTTGTTGCCCACTATATTAATTGGTTTCCTTAGACACTATACTACCCAGATGTAAGAAAAGGAATCATCATTGATCAGAAAATCCAAGTTTATCTTAATTTTTTATTCTTTCCACTATCACACACAGATCAAGGAAATGAGTGAAGACAATGTCAATGAAAATGGCTTTGCTGGAGTTCCTGTTCCACAAACTCAGGTCTCCATGGAAGAAAATAGTTTTGTAACTCTGAAGCTTAATGAATACACCTTTTTTTCTAGTCAAACTTTATCATGGTATCCATAGTCATTCAATAAACATTTATTACATTTCCATATAAAATAAAATTTATGAGATAAAAATTTATGGCAATCAAGGGCTGAGCGACTTCAGAAAATGAAGAATGTTACAATGTTGTTGGTCTGAGTAGGCTTCACGTAGGTGTTGCAGGGAAAAGAAGAAAATATTAAAATATGTACTAAAATAGTGTAAAATGTGTTTGGTCATGGGAATACCCTTCAAAAAGTCAAAGAGTGGGAGAAACCAAGATGGCGGCATAGGTAAACACCGGAGTTTGCTGCCTTTAACAACCACTTCAAAAATACAACTAAAAGACAGAACGGAAATCATCCAGAACCACAGGAAGGCTGGCTGAATGGAAATTCTACAACTAGAAGGAAAGAGAAAATCATACCGAGACTCAGAAGAGGCACAGTGCGGAAGTAAAATACTAAGGTACAGAAGCGCACGCAGAGCGGGCTGGCGGCTGAGGGCACGGTTGTCTTTTTCGTGTTTTTTTTTGTTTTTTTTTTAAATATATTTTATTGATTTTTTACAGAGAGGAAGGGAGAGAGAGATAGAGAGCCAGAAACATCGATGAGAGAGAAACATCGACCAGCTGCCTCCTGCACATCTCCCACTGGGGATGTGCCCGCAACCCAGGTACATGCCCTTGACCGGAATCGAACCTGGGACCCTTCAGTCCGCAGGCCGACGCTCTATCCACCGAGCCAAACCGGTTTCGGCAGTTGTCTTTTTCAATTGGGAGGGAGTCTCAGGCTCTGAGCTCCAGTTCCTGGCGAGTCTCTGGGGATCCAGACTCATACGGGAGAAGCGAAACTGTCTGGCATCGGTGGGAACTCGAGGGCAGATTTCTCTCGGAGGGGCTTGCAGTGATTGCCGAGACACTGAGAAGTGGAGCCTCTGAGAGCAGCCATAAATGCTAGCCCCGCCCTGTTGATCCTGTGGGACCCGCCCCGCCCAAGCCCTGCAGGGAGGCCTTTTCTGGATAGCCTAAGGCAGTGGCTAGATTAGCACCTCCCTAGAGATCCAGGAGCCAGTGTACCCAGAGATCAGAGTGGGACCATCCAGTTTGCAGCTCCATGGAACCATAAAGGACACACTCAGGGGGCAGACTCAGTGAGCACCAAAGCCCCATTGAAGCAAGTCTTGCCCCGGAGGGGTGTCTCCAGCACAGAAGTTCTCCCACTGCAGACACAGCTGATTCTCACAGCCAATTGGCCTGGAGGTCAATTCCTCCCAGTGATACCTACAACAATCAAGGCTTAACTACAACAAGACTGTGCACAAAGACCACAAGGGGGTGCACCAAGAGTGTCCTCCTAAGGTAATTGGGGAGGCTGAACCACTGGGCCCTAGAGGACAGAAAACCACTTTATCAACACAGGGAAGCATAAAAAATGCAGAGACAAAGAAACAGGACACAAATGAAAGAAATGGAGGAAAGCAAACTACTGGATATAAAGTTCAAAACCACTTTTAAGGTTTTTCAATAATTTTCTAGAAATTGCCGATAAACTTAATGAGACCTCCAAGAAATCTAATGAGACCCTCGAGGTTGTGATAAAGGACCAACTAGAAATTAAGCATACACTGACTGAAATAAAGAATATTATACAGAATCCCAACAGCAGACCAGAGGAGCGCAAGAATCAAGTCAACGATTTGAAATACGAAGAAGCAAAAAACACCCAACCGGAAAAGCAAAATGAAAAAAGAACCCAAAAATACGAAGATATCGTAAGGAGCCTCTGGGACAGCTTCAAGTGCACCAACATCCGAATTATAGGGGTGCCAGAAGAAGAGAGAGAGCAAGATATTGAAAACCTATTTGAAGAAATAATGACAGAAAACTTCCCCTACCTGGTGAAAGAAATAGACTTACAAGTCCAGGAAGCACAGAGAACCCCAAACAAAAGGAATCCAAAGAGGACCACACCAAGACACATCATAATTAAAATGCCAAGAGCAAAAGACAAAGAGAGAATCTTAAAAGCAGCAAGAGAAGAAAGTCAGTTTCCTACAAGGGAGTACCCATACGACTATCAGCTGATTTCTCAACAGAAACTTTGCAGTCCAGAAGGGAGTGGCAAGAAATATTCAAAGTGATGAATGCCAAGAACCTACAACCAAGATTACTTTATCCAGCAAAGCTATCATTCAGAATTGAAGGTCAGATAAAGGGCTTCACAGATAAGAAAAAGCTAAAGGAGTTCATCACCACTAAACCAGTATTATATGAAATGCTGAAAAGTATCCTTTAAGAAGAGGAAGAAGAAAAAGGTAAAGATACAAATTATGAACAACAAATACACATCTATCAACAAGTGAACCTGAAAATCAAGTGAATAATCTGATGAACAGAATGAACTGGTGATTATAATAGAATCAGTGAACTGACTATTCTTAGGGGGGGAAAGGGTGAGGGGGATTTGGAAAGAGACTGTACAAAAATCGTGCACCTATGGATGAGCACAGTGGGTGGGAAGTGAGGGAGGAGGGTGGGGTGGGAACTGGGTGGAGGGGAGTTATGGGGGGGAAAAAGAGGAACAACTGTAATAATCTGAACAATAAAGATTTAATTTTTTAAAAAGTAAGAGTGAATTTTATAAGAAAAGAAAATACTAACTTAACTAGAAAAGACTTTCCACATTAAAGGGAAGTAATGAAATACGAAGTTGAATAGGAGACAGCATAATTAACTAGGACATGACCTGAATTGGTTGTTACATGTTCTCAGAGCCAAAGCTACCATTGACTAATATAAATAGTCAGTTAACCTTGGGTTTCAGAATCAATAAAGGATGACAGATTGAAAACTTTGAAGGGGTGGTGATACATGTAGAAGAGAGTTTTCTTAGAAGAAAGAATATATAGCACTCAAATATTAGACTGGATCACCTTTTTTCTGGAACTTTGAGCCAGGATCAAAGACTAGATATAAGCTCAAGGAGGTATTCAGATAGAGTAAATATATGGATGGAGGTGCCAAGCTTCAGGATTTTATAAAGGGAAGCCCTCTGGGGAAGTCCTAGGAGTCCTCATCTCCATTTGATTTAGTTTAACAGTATCTTGGATGGTATAAGCTAAAAACTCAAGGACTTTGAAATTCAAGCATCCTTAGCTCTGTCTTCAGGCTAAGAAAAAATAAGATAAAAGCTGTCATTTTTGTTCCGGGTTCTATTCTAAGAACCTAACACGTATTAATATATCAACCCTATGAATCAAGTACTATTATAACAAGTGAGAAAACAGAGGCACAGAGTGATATAACTTGCACAAAGTGATTCAGCTAATAAATGGCAAGACCAGAATTTAATACCAAGAAGTCTGCCTCCCAAATCCACACTCATAACCTCAAACCATGCTGCCTCTCCAACCCACTTCAGACAAGAGGGCAGGAGAAAACATGTTTCAGAGATGAATAAACATTATAATTAGTGTCAATTATGCATCAATCCAGAGCATAGAATATAAAAGAAATTAGAGGTGTGGCTAAAGGAAATAGGATAAAAGGATTATAATACATTCCATCACTTTTTTCTTTGTTCATATGGAAATCATGACTTCAAATGTACTTAAAGGGTATATTTGTTGCAAATCATTACTTGTATCTCCTGAACTGAGAAGATTTATTCCCAAAATATTTATATTTCATGGTATGATACAAATCTGAGTAAAACAGTATTCCTAAGAGAAACTCAATGCAGAGTAAAAAAAATGAAAAAAAGAAAAAAGGTACTTGGATATTTATACTACTACTACTAGAGGCCCGGGGGGGGGGGGGGGATGTCCCTCAGCCCAGCCTGAACCCTCTCCAATCCAGGACCCCTTTGGGGGATGTCTGATTGCCGGTTTAGGCCCGATCCCTGTGGGACAACCGGCAGTCGGACATCCCCCCTCGCAATCCGGACCGCTGGCTCCTAACCGCTCACCTGCCTGCCTGCCTACCTGATCGCCCCTAACCACTCTGCCTGCCGGCTTGATTGCCCCCAACTGCGCCCCCCTTCTGGCCTGATCACCCCTAACTGCCCGCCCCCGCCAGTCTGATCACCCCAACTGCCCCCCCCCCAGCCTGCTCGCCCCTAACTGCCCACCCTGCTGGCCTGCTCACCCCCAACTGCCCTCCCCTCCTGGCCTGATCGCCCCTAACCACCTCTGCCTAGGCCCCGCCACCATGGGTTTGTCCAGAAGGACATCCAGAAGGTCTCCCAGAAGGTCTGACAGTCTAATTAGCATATTACCCTTTTATTAGTATAGATATGATATGTTTCTGCTTTACCTTCTTTTGTTCTTTTCTTCACTAATGAGCTTCCTACTACTGATATTTCCACTTTCCTTGCTATGGAATGTTACTTTTTTTTTCTTACCCACTCAGTATCATTCTAGGATTAGAATGATTCGATTCTTTCCTAGCCAGTTTGGCTCAGTGGATAGAGCATTGGCAGATTGAGGGGTCCCAGGTTTGATTCCAATCAAGGGCACATGCCCAGGTTGCCAGCTCGATCCCCAGAAGGGGGTGTGCAGGAGGTAGCCCATCAATGATTCTCTCTCATCACTGATGTTTCTATCTCTCTCTCTCCCTCTCCCTTCCTTTTTGAAATCAAAATAGATAGATAGATAGATAATAGGATTCTAACAGGCAGTGACCTTGAATACAGGGTCTAGGCAATCTTGCTAATTAAATTATTCTAGATCTCTACCTTAAAAATGTATACAGTGGGGCCTTGACTTACGAATTTAATTCATTCCATGACCGAGCTCGTAACTCAAATTACTCGTATGTCAAATAACTGTGACGTTCGCTGCGCCAACTAGCGGTAGGGTATCTGAAGCTGGCTCATATGTAACCCGATTTTTGGCTCGCAATTCAGAGCAAAAAATCGGCTGAGAGACAGCTCGTATCTCGAAAAAACTCGTTAGTCGGGACACTAAGTCAAGGCCTCACTGTAGTGACAAAGGGAATGACAGGACACAAATGAACTCTTCATATCTAAGGTAAAAATAATGCA